TCTCTGAACTCTCACTTTCAACTAATGACCCTCCTCGCTCCTCCCACCTCTCTCCCTCTCACCCCAAACCCTCACTAATTACTTCCCTATTCATTTCTTTCCTTTCGTTTTCTCTTATACGTTTGTGGCAATGATTCTGTATTCTAGAGTTCTCTCTAGAGTTTCGGGTAACTGATCAAGTGACGGCGCCTTGTAGTCTTAGCACCTAGGTAGTCAAATACCTAGGTTACAAGGTGTTGAACGAGAGAGGTTGCCTTAGGATCTCTGGGAGTGCTCTAGAATAGTTAGCTAACTGGGGACGGGATAACGGACTAGAGAGAGCTGTTTCCCCCGGCCTCGTTAGTTAACTGGGGGGTGGAATAATGGACAAGATAGAGCTATTTCCCCCAACCCCCCGTTACAAGAGCACAAGAACCTGATGGAGATGACACGACATCGTAGTGGCTAGGCTCGTGCAGGGCCAACTTAGTAATTTTACGCATTATTTCTAATTGGGTAACTTTTCATTAATGGTTTGCTCATTTACATTCATTAACTAGAGAAAAAAAGGACAAATTTGCCATTCAAAGTAGTGTCTTTATTACTAGTAAATTTTAATACATATGACCAGATATTATTACATAATATTTGCAAGTTTGGTCATTGAAGTTAGCAGTTGAGGCCCTGCCAAGTACATCATATATTTGTTGCTGCAAGCCAAGCCAAGTACAGCTTAATGCTTCATTTAGATTATTGTCATATGTTAACGAAGCTTTATTTGAAACTTAATAAAACTGCACGGAAGAACCATGAGAGAAATTACAGTTGCCAAAAGTAGGTTAACATGTAAGGGATTGTCCTTTTTATTTATATTTTTTTTAGTAACGTGAATTGCCTTAAGGGTTCTAGATGACGGCTATGTGAAAGCACAAGTTCTTGTATATAAATTATACTTTGTCTTGCGGCGGAGTTCCAAATCATCAGTTGTAAAGTTGCTGATGAATGTTATGACACTAATGGATTGTCATTTATATTTTCATTTCATAAGAAATATTACTTAATTGCACCCTCCAAATAGGCCATATGGCAAATGCTTGCCAGCTGTGGTCTGCTGGCAAGCTTTACATAACTTTACATTAGTTACGCACTTGGAAGGCGTATCTAAGTCATGCGTTGTTGGGGGATACGATCAAATCGTGCGCCGGAGTTTCCTTTCTAATTCCTTTAAGGTATTGTGTTCCTCGTGTGAGGATTTCTAAGACCACATTGGTGTTAGGTGCCTTTTGTGATGGTTCCTAAGTGTTTAGCTTTTTCTGTGACGATTCCTAGTCACGTATGTGTTTGAATCCTCCTGTTAGGGGTTCACACAAGGAGTTTAGATCCTTCTGTGAGGGTTTGTGAGAACCACGCCAACAAATTATTCACTTACCCCCAACGGCGATCTCACGCGACCGACAATGCGTCGCTCCTCAGTAAATAGTCAGGATGTTGTTGACCCTCCGAGTGTAGTGCCAGAGGAAAGCCGGTTGACCCGAACATGCATGTATTTATTTGTATTTAGAACGAGAGAGAGACATTCATTCTTATATTTACCGGGAGAAACAGAGCAGTTGGTCTGACTCTCAGCTGAACGTGTGATTGACTATGACACCACCTGTTACATGTCCCACTGGCCTCCTCTGGCCACCTTGAGGATGACTCCAAAGAGCCTTCACTTACGGGGCTCACCATTGCCTGTGCTACTGGAACTTCTTGTTCTGAGTAGCTGAATCAAAAAGAACAACAACAACAGTCAATGTGCTCATTTATGAAACCTGATATGAAGAATACAGTGCTATCCGCCCATTTGGTAAGTTCTTTAAGATGGCGGAGGAGAAGACTTTCATTTTATTTGTAAGTATCTGAGAGGTGAGGACCTTTCTGGCAGCAGACTGTCGTTGAGCATAATGTTGACAGCGACAGGCTGAAGTCATCTGCACTTTACCCAACTCTGGCAGCTTGCCAGGCAACTCCGAGTCTCTCTCTCTTGGTATATGCTCGCTCGGTTTGCTTCTAGAAAAGCTGCCTAGATTAGGGAAAGGCAGCATTAAATGTATGAGAAATGGGTTAATTTTAATGCTTCTGGTTTGATGTATTATGACCGCGTGTAGTTTTCCTCTCTCTCCTTTGTGGTATTCTTTCTTGACGACTCCATCTTCCGCGAACTCGTTTTTTTTTCTATCCACATACAGTTTGTGTCTTCCCTCTCGTCTCACGGCCTCTGCGCCAACGACCATACGCACCCTGTGATTGTGAGGGAGCCGGTCGGCCGAGCGGACAGCACGCTGGACTTGTGATCCTGTGGTCCTGGGTTCGATCCCAGGCGCCGGCGAGAAACAATGGGCAGAGTTTCTTTCACCCTGTGCCTCTGTTACCTAGCAGTAAAATAGGTACCTGGGTGTTAGTCAGCTGTCACGGGCTGCTTGCTGGGGGTGGAGGCCTGGTCGAGGACCGGGCCGCGGGGACACTAAAAAGTCCCGAAATCATCTCAAGATAACCATCTCAAGATCTCAAGATAACCCTGCTCCTGTCTCAACGTTACTGTGTATACGCATCCTTGCTCTCGTCTCACCATTTTGCTCTTTTGATTGATTTTGCTCTCTTCTGACTCGTCCTGTCGTGTCCTATTTGTTCATATATTTTGTATTCAGCCGCGTCTCGATTATAAGAAGTTGATCGACGGTAATACGAAGATTCATGTTGTTTACAACTCTATTCTTGGACTGGGAGTTGCAGAGTTGTCGATCATCTGGATCGTGTTTCTGCATGGTCTCACCTCCGTCAAGTCCCTTTCTGTTTCATAGATTAGCTGACGCAACACTTTCTCCCAGGAGGTCCTATACCATTTTTTGTTTTAATTTCTTCTTTTCACCTGTAGAAATTTGTGGACATCGTCACAATTATAGATTTAACTCATCCACCTGGTATGTACTGGGTGTCTACGAAATCTTATCACCCGGGTGTATTATAAGATTTATTTTTATTACAACTACAGATTTCTTATATATATATATATATATATATATATATATATATATATATATATATATATATATATATATATATATATATATATATATATATATATATATATATATATATAATTACACTAAACAAATTCAGTAGCTTTATATAGCCGATGTGTCCAATGGGTGTGTTTGAGTGTTGTAGTGTTCATAACAGAAATATTTCGTGAGAATGTGTTCAGTGTAGTCCACGTCTCGGCCTATACACACGGAGAGTTTAGGCCTAAACTGTGTTCATGATTATAACATACTTGCTTGATGGTAAGCTATTGTGGTGGCCTTAATAACCCTCCAGAGGTTGACTGGCCTTTTAGCCATTCAGAAATTGATAGGTCTTAATAACCATTCACAGGTTGGTAGACATAATAACTCTCCAGAGGTTGATAGGCCTTAATAAACCTCCCATGATCGAATGCTTTTAAACCCAACTTCCCTCTATCCGCTCTTCAATAAAAATAAATGCTTGATTCTTGCATACACAACCAACCAGAGAGCAGACACAGAACCACTTAGTATCATACTAATGTGACGAGACTTTGTGGACACGCTGTACACTAGCTATCCTGAAATTGTAAATAAAGTCACGGTGGAATTACGCAGAGGCTATAGAGCATTCATCCCTGACTATTTTTTTTTCCTTGTTCTGCCCCAGAACTTCCTCATACGACGATAGACCTGACAGCTTCGTGGAAATCTTCAGGTAACTTAGTAAACACTGTAGCCAACTCACTGGAGCAGTACATCCACAGCTTGGCATGTAGGCGCCTGCTGCTGAGGCTTTGCTTGTTAACCTGCTGTTTGCCAACAATTGCAGAAGAGGGATTTTTTTTTTGGTAAAGTTAGTATGTGTTGCTCTAAATTGAGATACCGAGAATATTACTAACCCGGTGTAGGCTAACTACTGCTAGTTATTATATAGCGATATTGATGTGTTGGGCCAAAAACACATAACGAGTTATCAGAAAGGAAATAGCCCGTGTTGTGTGCTAAATTTGACGATATTTTTAAGGAACCGAAACAGAATAGAGTAGCATTTAAGTACCGTTTTCTGTAGTGTACTTTTTAGCAGTTTTGATGTTTTTTTTCTGTTTATGCTTTAAGAGTTCTATTAGGAACCATTAGTGATTGCTTCATAGATCATAGTTCGGCATGCTAGCCTGTCTCTTAGCCCTCGTCAAGACCAGTGCATGAGATGAGAGCAGGATCATGAGGGTTCTCACCGGCCATGTTGACAGCACTTCCTCCAGGACACAGCCGCATGTTTGAGTTACAAAGACCTCAAATACTAGCGTAGTAATGTGATCTTTAAGGCACGTTTCTCAGACATTTATTACAAAAATATTGTTATCCTGGTTTGCTGTTGCAAGGGCTGCCATATGCATGATACCGGCGTCATATGCCAGCAAACACAACGTTTTCTTAGCGTTATTACGTTGCTGCAACATTGCAGCAACTTATAACGTTGTAAACTACACTTGTTTACGTCAGGATAGAGCAAGCAAGGCTTTTTTCCTTCCATCATCAGATCTAAGGACTAGGGTGAATCAGTCAAGGTGATGGAGATCCTTTGTGTAATTCCAGCACGGCTTATACTACCATACAATGTTTGTCTTATTTGACTACTATTGATGTCTGGGGTAAATAATCCCCTTCAGTATTATTTATATAAACTATGTCCAGACATTATCATTATAACTTCTCAGGGTATCCCTGTTGATTCTGATAACATCACTTTGAGCAATAAAGGCCTCTTACTATACAACTGCCTTGAATGGTGACAATGAGTTACAACATATTCATAGTAGACGAGCCAATAAACATTTTCGTCCCCTCTTTCATCCACCTAACTTATCCCAAACATCCAGGCTTTCCGTCTCCCATCCATCATTATTTCTCTCCCCCAAACCTTTTGGTCAACACACCGGATAATGCGGTATACTTATTACGCTTCTTCAGGAGCTCCTCCCGCAACGAGGGTCGGAGCGGTTCCCGCGGTGGGTCGAGGAGTGGCAGCGCCCTGGCCTCAGTGGAGGACGGCGGCCACGTCAGACACACGCGACGAGAGTACTGCACACCTGACAGCAAGACTCATGTTGTCACCGAGAAGTACGAGTATGACACCGGGGACACCAGTAAGGTCAGTTACGAGGCTTCGTAATTCTAGCTCAAATTATACGTAATATAGAGTGGAAGAGTATAGTTTTAGCAGCTGCAGTCGCGAGGAAGATATTTTACTAGGTGAGTCAGAGGTGCCGACCTCAATGGTGTCAGCGAGGCGGTGTTTACCTGCACCTTGGTTGGCACAGATGATGCTTCCGGGTGTGTTGGTCGTGGCACTGTTGGCACTGATTCCGACTGCCTGCACAGGCAATATCACTCTTGACTTGGGTACCGCATCCTGACTGACACATCTTACGTAAGCTTTATTTAATCTATTGTTTAAAATTATTAACAAAATTGCTGGAAGAGCACTATTATGTTGATAATATTATTCCTAACGTACTTATGATAGTTTTATAAAAAAAGAAAAATCCAAACAACTTAGCGAAACTTTGTAATGCAAATATTCTTGATGATTTGTAAGTAATAGTGGTGGCCGTTAAGGGTCTGGAGGGTTGTTAAGTAATAACCCTCCAGAGGTTGACAGGCAATAAGCCCAGCAATAAAGAAAATGTTGTATGTAACGGTATACCTATTCAAAGCGCTACAAATTTATTTGTATTTCTTTATGTTAGTGAAATTCAATTCTTTGCAGACGAATCATTTCCAGAAGAAGATAATGAAGTCGACTTACTCTTCATATAACTCGCTGAACGCTGGTAGCTTGGAGGACCGACCATCGCTGGCCGCAGAGTCGCCACCACAGCTGTCTCCTCAAGCTCCACCAGACACTAAAGGTACTTAATTATATTGGGTGGCTTAATCTTCATCAATCAATCAATCCCTGAAGTCCACCTTCTAAATATCTTTTCTTTCTGTTGACCAAACCACACACTAGAAAGTGAAGGGACGACGACGTTTCGGTCGTCAAAAATCGACTTGAGAATGGTCCAGGACGGACCGAAACGTCGTCGTCCCTTCACTTTCTAGTGTGTGGTTTGGTCAACATATTTCAGCCACGTTATTGTGACTCCTCGCCTGCAACTTTGCTATCTCCGTGCTGGATATACGCTTGCTCTATACGTATAGTATATGAGCTCTATATGTATAACTCTATACGTATTGTATAGTATTATTAAGTATATGAACTCATAATTGAACACGTAACATATTTTATCAATTAAGAAAATAAAAATCAAGGAAACTGCAGAAAGCCCATTCGACCAATACTATTAAATATTTTTGTCTATGCTAAATCAGCACAAAGACCTTTTGTGCTGATTTAGATAATTAAATTACACTAATTAGCCCTACCTAATTAGGTTGGTCAGGACCAAAATATTCTTGCTAGTTGGTCAATAAGCTGTTGTTGTTGCCTTAATAACCTTCCAGAGGTCGAGAGGCGTTAAGCCCAACATCAAATGAAATACTTTAGGGCAAAGTCCAATACCAAATTATATAAACTAACTTGTATCAAAGTTACGTAGTACAGTAACGTGTATCATTCAGCTAGACTCAAATATGGTAACACGAACTGATGCGCGATTTACTAGGATTATTCAATGTAAATTGTCTAAGAATGGATAACAGGATTTCTGTGTTTTTTTTTATCTCGCCATTCATTCTTTTAAAATGTGAAAGATATAATATAAATATGAAATAAATATCCGTACTGACCCTATTTCGTGTTGCACTGGAGCCCGAATATGAGTTTATATAATGACCAAGCCACACGACGGGTTTATAAATGCTGACGAATAAACAGTTAACCTAAATGAAGAATTATATAACCAGGAAATTGGTTTTCTGCTATCGTGGACAGGAAGCCACTTAGGCATATTACCGGGAAACTTCCCATCACCCGCCAAGCCAAGGATGAGGCTACACCCGCGTGATAACTCAAGAAGTTACTAACCAGTCCCAGCAGTGTGCTCGAGTGATGGGCCCATCATCCAAAACTCAACTCATAATTCAATATGATTATCATATGCATTTGTGGCTTAATAAACATGATTCTCGTCATTTGTTTTCGAGGGAAGCCTGTTTCGACAAACACTTATATACTTCCTGTATAAATATCGGAAACACAGCTTACAGCTTCAGCACCAGCTTGCGCAGAAACCAGGGCCCAGGATTAGTCAAGCATTTCCGCAATCACTTACGAAACTAGTATATCTTTCCTTAATCGTGGTGACTGTATTTGCATTTTTATGAGCATCGAAACTTCACAACTTATTGTTGTTATGAACAGCCTCATAAGTCTTCTGGCTCATAAACTATTTATTTAATGTAAACAAACCACTATGAGAACAGACATGCAGGTTTTGAAAGTGGTTACGTAAATGCTTCGCGAATCCTGGCTCATTATTAAACATAATATTTACATATTATGTTAAATCACTTTTATAGAATAGAACCTATTCAAAGTTTAGCATCATATATCTAAAATTACTGAGACTGTTTATATAAGGTAATTTTTCGTATGTTAGTTTCACATAGATTCATCAGAAATCAATGCTTTAATTTCGCGTGCAATAAACAGACAGCACTGAGGTGAATACTCCTAATTTCCCCTTATGCCACTACAGGAAGGGCTCCGTATTACAAAATGTATTACAGATTTTTACGTAGTATTGTATATTGTCATTCACCTATTATAAGTAACATTTGCTAATAAATGTTCAACAAAGCACATATAAGATGGTAAGATGGTAGCTTTGTAGCATGTTGCTATGGCATGTTTCCCCTAGATGTGCTCAAGATGCAAGTCCCATTATTAGTAATAGTATTCTGGCTTCTTGTTCGTTGTCACTATAAGTGCCGTTCCTAGCTTGAACAGCTGAGACACCTCAAACTATATTGCTTCTGGAATAATAGTAAGTAGGATAGAGCAGTAGAAGCATATTTTATGTTAATTTGATGTTTGTGACTTTTTATACATATATATACAAATTAGTTACTGCTTTTATGAGTATTGTAAGCCTTGCTATTTGTTCATAGAATTTAAGAATGCCTCATCTTGATCTTTACCCACAAAAGAAAGTTAATATATATCTGTATGAACGCAGGATCACTGCTGACCATTGACCAAAATCAGAAGCTACTTTTTGACAAACTAACATGTACTTAACAACTCATTTCCAGTTATCAGTGCTTCCCAGAAAGTAGCAAACAAATTGGTTGATGCCCTGGCCAGTATAGGTGAGGCGGAGTTGTGTGTTGATCTCCTATCTTCTTCCCCATTATCCCCCTGTATTGTCTCCCTCCCTCATGCTGCTGGTGTAGGGGCCACCATCTTTGTAATAATATGAGAAACTGTAATACTCACACCATCCTGTGTTCGTGTCAAGCTGGGGTTGCTTTCTGTTTGTACGTCTCTCACTCTCTCTCTCTCTCTCCGTTGTATCACCAGTCTTGCAAGGGTAGCGTGTGTTTATAGCATAATTTCAAAATCTGTTCCTCTCCCACAAACCCTTCACAAGTTAAATTACACCCCCCCATATTTATAAAATTGGGAATTTGTTGAATAATATGAGAGCTCGGTAACTGCTATGTTGTAAAACACTAAATGCATATAATAGTGCAGGATATCCGTCAAGTTCCACGGATCAACGGATCAGACTGCCAAATTATTTGTTAGCTCTAATTAACGATGGGAGAGGAGCCAGGTACTGTATAAATATATCCTTAAAAGCCAAATATTTAAAATATGTTTTGAGGTCAGTGAAAATAGGCGCTGATAAACAGACTGCCGTTTTCACCCAAGCCTTGATATTATATTATTTAATATTTGGCTACCATTGATCATGTTTTACCCTAGGTAACACCTGGACCCCCCCCTTGTGTGTGTTGTAGTGGTGATGGGTGTGTTGAGGCGGTGTGGTGATGGGGAAGGGGGGTGTTGTAGTGATGGTATGTTGTATTTGTGCTAACAACAGGTTTGGTGACATCAACGTGTGTGTAGTTGTCTTTGTGCGTCTGAGTCTGGAAGAATGCGAACAATTAATTACACTGTATTATAGGTATGTCTGTATTTTTTAAATTTATTTAACACCTAATAATTGTTTTGTTATTTAACTAATGTTAAGGTGTGGTTGTTAGTTACTTACATATGTTTTTTGTGGTAATTTGTTAATTGATAATCAAATGTTTTTGATAGTGGATTGTTGTGTCTAAACACTGTTTCTGGCAAGAATATTTTACATTACTTTGGATTACTTTGGATATAATTATAAAAATTAGTTTATACTGGAATTTATGAACGTAAAGTGTGTATATATATATATATATATATATATATATATATATATATATATATATATATATATATATATATATATATATATATATATATGTCGTACCTAGTAGCCAGAACGCACTTCTTAGCCTACTATGCAAGGCCCGATTTGCCTAGTAAGCCAAGTTTTCATGAATTAATTATTTTTCGACTACCTAACCTACCTAACCTAACCTAACCTAACTTTTTCGGCTACCTAACCTAACCTAACCTATAAAGATAGGTTAGGTTAGGTTAGGTAGGGTTGGTTAGGTTCGGTCATATATCTACGTTAATTTTAACTCCAATAAAAAAAAATTGACCTCATACATAATGAAATGGGTAGCTTTATCATTTCATAAGGAAAAAATTAGAAAAAATATATTAATTCAGGAAAACTTGGCTTATTAGGCAAATTGGGCCTTGAATAGTAGGCCAAAAAGTGAGTTCTGGCTACTAGGTACAACATATATATATATATATTATATATATATATATATATATATATATATATATATATATATATATATATAACTGTACCATCATCCTACAAAATCATTGGAGAGTCTTTATGAACTCATTCAACCCCATGTCCGAGTGCACTCGGGACTAGATGAAATAGTTGACCACATACCCGAATGCACTCGGGAATGGGGTTTAATGAGTTCATAAAGACTCTCCTAAGCTTTTATAGTGTGGTGGTACAGTGGTACAGCATTCTGCTTTGCATCACGCGGGCTGAGGTTCTAGTCTCAGTAATGGGCATTTGGAACTTTCAAGTATTGAAAGTGAGGCCCGTGTACTATTCAGGTTTATCATTTAAGAATATATATATATATATATATATATATATATATATATATATATATATATATATATATATATATATATATATATATATGGAAGGGAGTACCACCTCTAGCTGGAAGAAGGGGGACCCATAGCCTCGGAGGAAACCACGCATAACGCATTAGAGGGAATGTTTAGATCCCCTCCAATATATATATATATATATATATATATATATATATATATATATATATATATATATATATAAGAATGTATAATGGAGCTAATATTTAGCATAAATATACAAATACAATTTAACAGTATAGGGGTGTTAACATTTCTTATAAAACTGTATAAAAGCATGTTTAAACATTATACCTAGAATAACCAACTTTTAAGACGTCTAAATATAATAAAAAAAGTAAATTAAAAAATAACCAGTAATTTATCTTCTTTCTGATAGTGCATTAGCCTGATGTCAAAATATGAATTTGTCTACGTTTCATAGAATTTAAATTACATTTAACCCATATTATGTTCCTTCCCACCCATGCAATCACCCATGCAATGATATCCACAGAAAGGTTTACCCTGCTTCACGGTTTATGTATACTGAGAGTTTTCCTAACTCTAGGAGTATGCTCAGGACTTTATATTTACCAGTTGGTTAGTAAGTTGTTGCCATAATAATCCTCAAATTTAATTAACAATGAAACTTGAATCTCGAATTATATTTATATATAATAGGAAATATGAGATGTGAGAATGTTTTAAGTAAATTAATAATTGTCTTGAAATCTTGAATCTTGAATCTTCAAGAATCTTGAAAGGATTCAGTATTATGCCAACATGGGAAGCTACATCACCAAGAGCTTCACATTCTTGTGAATATTTTTAATCAGAGTAAAATATATGTAACAAAAAACAACTAAGAAATTGTTATTAAATGCAGGAGAATATTGATAAGCACGAGTATGTTAATACAATTTTAATTAGCCTAATAATATGAAAATAAAAGCTAAGTACTAAATCAAACAATATAACTGAAAATAACAAATAATTATATAATTTGTTTTGTGCTGCTTGAGTTTAGTCTAGTTGTATTTGTGCAAAGGCAAGTACTTTTGCTGTCTGCCAGCGTAGCTTCGTAAATATTAATGAGGTTGATAGATTAAAGTCTAAACATTAACTCTGACCAATTAAATCATACCACGGCGGCATTGCAAATACAAGCGTTAAATTTTGACTTTAGAGTAAATTTCGAGAGCTTGATTAAAGATAATATGTATTTATTATACTGTATAAATGTACGGAAACCCAGTTTTTCGCGGTTCATAGAAACTTTTTTATGCCGTCACCGTGCTGGTTTTGTAATCCCTCTCGCTACGTTTATCTTATACGGCTTATACTTGAGCGTGTTCAGTAGTAAAATTATAATATTAGTGTAGAGAATTTAATAAAGTTGTCTATTACTTTCAGTATATGCACATAGCAGGAAACTATAGCCTTGCACTGTTTAGGATCAAGGTATTCTTACTGGACTACTGAGCTGTCAGTGTTAGCCTTAAAAATCCCTTCAGAGGTTGATAGATCTTAATAGGCCCAACACCTAACAGAGAGGATGAGCAAGCAACGTAGAATGTTACAAAAACAATTTTAGTGAAGTCGAGACTTATTACAAATAATTGTTTAGAGAAGTGAATGTTGACTGATAGTGATAATTTATGAAATAGAGAAGTATGCTAGTAAGCAAAAATGTTAAGTGATAACAAATTGTAAAATAATTTTAGAAAGTAGAGAACGTTAGCAAGCATCGTAGAATAGCATAATAAATAAATGTCAACATAAGTATGAATGTTACTGAATATATGAAGATGTCGGGAAAATGCGAAGAATATTAGTATAATGTTGCGAATATTCTTAAACATTGAGTCGTAAGTGCAGATCATATATACTGAACACAAGACTATAGTGAATTGACCCTCTGCCCATCTGGCCCCACAGGTGGGGATGGGAGTCACGTTCCAGCACCTGACTCCAGCGAAACTGAGTCTGTTCGAACGGACACGATGAAAACCTCTCTTACGGCTAGTTCGGATTATTCCACTCTAGGTCGACTTCGTAAGAATATCAACGAACTGGATTCTCTGATTTCTTCGCTTGAAGATTCGCGCCAGAAAGAACACAGAACATCAGAAGTTCAGGGATCCTCAGTGTCGACAAACGTGTCTATTGTATCTAAAACAAGCGAATTAAAGGTGAAAGATGCCAAACCTGTAAAAGATGTGTCTCCCGCAAGAGTCGTGGCCCCTGTAAGAACTGTTGTTCATGTGGACAGAGTGGCTACTGTGGAAGGTAAAACATTCGATAAAGAGAAGGTGCCAGTAAATATAGCTGCGCCTGTAAAAGAAAGATCTGCGAAACCTATCCAGTCAGTAGACCCTGCACTTGCCATAACTCTTGCAGCGGCTGAAGCATGTTCACTTCCCACCAGCAGCAGCAGCTACACGACTCACGTCACCACCAGCCGCACCAAGAGAACAACTGAGTCAGACAGAACCAGTGGTTCGCAACAGAAAGTGTTTAGAGAAGAGAGGAGTAAGTGGGTGTTGTGTGGCGTGGCACTAGTGCCTGTGAATCTTGGCCCTAGCGCTTGTATGGCGTTGTACCATTGCCTGTGTGGTGTGACACCAGTGCCTGTGGGGCGTGACACCAGTGCCTGTGTTGTTAAGAGGGCGTGGTATCCCCTGAAGTGTGCCTTCTGCTGCTACTCCTCACCTCACGAGCTTTCACCCTCATTCCCTTTAATGCTTAGCACGACTGCCCAACTTCTCCTGCCCTCAGATGGAGAGCTCCGCAGGGAATGTTTACACTAATGGCAGTCGCTAGAGAACTGTTGGAGTATTTAACTCATGGAAAGGCAGACATGTTACTCAGATGCCAGTCATTTAGAAGGAAATCCTTTCCAGACCGCTTCGTGGCTGCGTGTCAGGAACAAGAGTGGTTATTCGTGTTTTGCTTGTATTTTACCAGGCAAATTTAATATCAATGCTTTTTTTTTTTAGCTTGATGTTTTGTGGCTTTTTTTTTTGCATCCCTCAGTGTTTCTTCTAATTGTTTTTTCGCCTTTGTTAAAGTGTAATATTGATGTTTTTAATTTATTCATGATCACTGTCTGATTTTTTGCTGATAGTTAATGATAGTGCAACGCCAGGACGAAATAAAGGCCAATTTAAGATTGGGAAAAGCATTACGAACGAGTGTGACGTGTGTGTGTGTGTGTGTGTGTGTGTGTGTGTGTGTGTGTGTGTGTGTGGGAAGGTGGGTGGAGGACTTTTTAACTTAGCGTCGTGGTGATGCATGGTGTTCTGCATGTCTGGGACTCCTGCATGACAGTTCAGACTGTGTAGTACAGTGCAGTGTTTCTGATGGTCCGTCACTGCCTTGTGCGCAACTAACCGTTACTCTCTGGAATATTGGGTTTTGATTCTGTGGATAGTTGATCACGTGGTTTGAACTATCCAAGCCGAAGTCAGGTTACTCTCGAGTGACCAACTGTTCAGTCAAAACTGAATTTTCCTTCCTGTGTGTGTGTGATAGTGGTGTTGATTGGTGGCAGGGTTTATACAAGCATGTTGGTGCGGCTCCTAATATGTCAAGTATCATGTAACAAATACATTAATTCTCTTGTTTAATATTTCTATAATTTGTTTAAAATATATTTGTTGCCACATATTGTATACTAAGAAAAGTTAACATTTGCCTCCCTAGTAATCCAATAACGTAATATTAAAAGTATATTTTACTCATATCCAATTATCAATCACTGTTAATCAGTATGTTAATCCACAATTAATAAAGTATATATAACAAAATGAAATCGACTGGTAGTTTAATATCTTCCCTACTCTACCAGAGATAATCTTATCCCCCCCTAAGAATGTGTGGCTGATTTAGTAAAGGCCATTATTGGGGCGTGTTAGTTCAGTGTGTAACATCCTGGTCCTCCGACAGGTTCCATCCCGACCTCCACCTTTGTCAACGGCACCAGCACCACATCCTCACACATCAACAAGTACGGCACCACCACCTCCTCACACACCAACAAGTACGAGTAAGTGCTCCTCACTTTCTTACGGGCTCACCATAGCCCGTGCTACATGGACACTTCGTTCTGAGTAGCTAAATCTGAAACAACAACATCCTCACTTTCCTTAGTCACTATGTTTCCGTCAGGCTTGAAACTGATTATTTTTTACGCCACCGTGGGCGGGTATGTAAATTGTATCCAAAGGGAAAAAAGGCACAAGCAGACCAGAAATTTCTATAGGTCTTGAGTTAGTCACAACTCAATAGAATTGTCACCATAATTCTACTGATTCACTTGTTTCATAATCACACAATTCTAACTTCGATTTGCACAAGGTTCATAATACCTTCTGTCAATCAAATGTTCAAGTCATGATTGACTGTATGTATGTATATGTATGTATATATGTATGTATGTTATAAAATCAACTCTGGGTTTCGCTTGATGACCCGGACGTACACAGGTGCCTGGGTGGGGGTTGGGGTGGGAGTGTGAATGGTGTGGCGTGACTGTCATGCAGGCGCTGTTACCTTCAGCCTGCACCAGTGTGTCGATCGATACCACAACTCAATAGAATTGTCACCATAATTCTACTGATTCACTTGTTTCATAATCACACAATTCTAACTTCGATTTGCACAAGGTTCATAATACCTTCTGTCAATCATGACTGTTCAAGGTTAAGAAATTTGTCAATAGAAACCACATTCAAGTAGCCAAAAAGTTAATGCTTGCCAAGACAGGCCTCGATCATGTCTTAGGCTTCACGCTTAGTGATGTAATGGTATGGCATGAAACATGTAAATTTCAAGTAAATTTCAGTCATATAAGTTAACACTCGGTGTTTTTTTCTATATCGTGAGGACTTTGTTATCGTGTATTCACACAATAAAACTGATAAAAAATGAAATTTCAGTTTAAAGTAGCAAAGCAAAAAATATTAATATAGCATTTTTAGACTGACGAATAGCGTCATAGTTACATATATCACTTTCCGGTATATATATATATATATATATATATATATATATATATATATATATATATATATATATATATATATATATATATATATATATATATATATATATATAAACCGTGAGATGTACTTCGTTCCTCTATGTACACTGTACACTTTGTAAATACTGAGTTTACTTTAGCTCTGGACGCACTTTTGCTAGGTGCTCAATTAGCAATTGTGGCTGCTTTAATTAATAAGCCTACAGAGGTTGATGAGCTTTAGCCTCACGTCAAAATCATTTCTCGATGAATATACTGTACACTGTTTACCTACGCTCTAGTTTATGTTCAGGACTAAAGTATTGTTGGTCAGTAAACTATCATGGTGGCCTTAATAACCCTTCAGATTTTGATAGGCCTAAAGCCCAACATGAGGGGTCGGTCTTGCTTCATGTAGGTCAGCGTTCAATCCCCGACCATCCAAGTGGTTGCGCACCATTTCTTTCCCCCGTCCCATCCCAAATCCTTATATTGACCGTCTTCCAAGTGCTATAAAATTGTAATGGCTTGGCGCTTCCTCCTCCTAGTTCCCTGCCCTTCCATGTAAAGGTGCGTGTGTGTGTGTGTGTGTGTGTGTTGTACTCGTGCTTGTTTGACAGTGTTTCAACTAGTCTGTTGATGTTTATACGGTTGAAGCTGTACTAGAGAGCCCTTGTAGATGTTGTGCCGTGAACGTTTTTCACTATAGATAAAGCCATAGTGAAAAAAGACAACATGAGTATGTAGGCTAGAGAGAGAAAGAAAAGCTAGAAAAAGGCTAGAAAAAAGAGAAAGAGGAGAAAGAGTTTCGCTGATCTTTGTTTTCCCCTCTCCGTCTCCTGACAGTGGCGACGACGAGGAGGTACTGGACGATACTAAGGGCGGAGAGGTTCGTCGCATCGTGTGGCGCAACAGGTTCGAGAAAACGTACGAGGCCAACGACTCTAGCCATCCACCGCCAGCGGTCAGTACTTCATAGTGCACACACTCGCTAAGTAACCCATCTGATTTTGCATACATGGCTTGACTTTGGTGACTATTTTGAATAAACTAATAATATTATATATATATAATATATATATATATATATATATATATATATATATAATATATATATATATATATATATATATATATATATATATATATAAATTTAATTTATAAATAATTTATAAAATAAATATTTTTAAATACACATCTTGACCCCTGAATGATTCGAACCTGTTCAGTTAGGGTTGCTTTCTGATGCATGTTGACTTGGGGCCATTCAAGCTTGACTCACACTTGATACTCATGAGGCCCCTAGTATGTTGAAGGGATTTTCTGAAACATCTGAGCCCATTAATGCCACGAGTGCTGTCAAGTGTTGGGGTTGTAAGTCTCACGACTTCTCAAGACTTTTGATTATATAATCTTAATAATTTAAATTAAGTGGCCGATTACATGTGTGGTTTTTATGTATAAGCTATACACGTCTTAGATGCAGGAGAAAGACAGTAGTACTAACTGTGTCGATATGTTGACAGATGAGCATCGAGGAGGAGTCCCGCCGTCGGCAGTTGCCGCAGCGGCAGCCGCAGCCGCAGCACCAGCACCTTCATCACCACCAGACGTCCGCCTCGGCCTCCACCGTCTCCACTCTCTCCTCCCCACAAGGGCCTAGCTCACCCCATCAGGTAGGCCCAGCAACACCTCCAACCCATACTTACAGACATCAACGAGTTACCTCCCCCACAACCTTCGTTTACACCGCTCTTCGTGGTGCAATAATCGGCAGATATTTTTAATTTTATTTTTTGGCCGACTCCTCCCCAAACTTTAATGGAGTGACGTAGGAAATAGAGGCTCAGTAGAGTCATTTATCCGCTTGTCAGGCAAATGGAGCTTTCAATGCTGGCGAGACTTACAGAAGGATTTTTGTTCATCTTTTATTCACTTCCAGTGCAAACATTCTTCTTTGACGGGATATTTACGGGTGAGTGCTTGGAGTTATTTATACAGTAACAGAAGCAACCAGAGCGCAGTTTATTTTTATGGAAACTTTCGTATCAACTGAATCCAGCAGGAGGTAGAAATAGCCTAAGCTACTCTACCTTTTTGAGATGAATTTTATTACCACAATAAATGTACCTAAAATGAATTCAAACAAAGCTTACTTAAAAAGAGATGGAAAGGCGGTACACTTTTAATTTGCAAGTGTCGAGGTTCTTTATTTAACTGTCTGCTAACGTTGATTTTAAACTACTTAAATGCTGAATAATATGACAGACTTTGAAAGTAAATTATGTGTGAGCGTGCCTTAAACAATAGAAATGAAAATATGAGGCTCGTAAGTTTTAAAATTCAATGATGACTAAGACTTTAAATGTAAGATAATGTCATGCATGCATCTCACATTTTGCATGTGAGCGTATCTCACATGCTCAGTCAAGTACTTCAGGTACTCGGTAATGAAACGTATTTTCAGGTAGTCAGTTTCTTCAAGTATTTAAGTATTTTCAGGAACTTAGTCTCGAAGAGTAATATAAAATACTCAATTAAAACTGTGAGAAAGAGACACTGGAGGTCAAGGCGGATAAATTGCTCTTCTGGGACCTGAGTTTAGCTCGATGAGAATGCTCCTGTTTGGCAGTCAGAAGACTTCCTTTTAAATTCTCTGATGGCTATACGTATCTTAATATTAACCAGTTTCAGAAATTTCCCAGTGAATGGCTGCATATTGACACACTTTACTAAACTTTTGTTCGGGAAGAGGAGCCATCATACGTTTTGTGTTCTTTGACCAACTGACTGCAAGTCCGCGTCCCCCATATTAACTATAATTCAAGTTTACTAAAATTATTATGCAATCCTCTGACTTAATATAGGAATATTATCGAAACTCACTGCACAATATGTTTAATATTAATATATCTTTTTGAGTAGCTTGTTAGCTGACCTGACATGACCTTTGTCACCTGAGGTACCTGTGTGCCAGTGTGTGTGTTTACATGGTCTACACCTGGGGTTGGGGAGGGCTAATAGATTCACTCCAGGTTAGTGTTGAGATTGCTACTCGAATTCACACACGCCAGGTCATTGTAAGAATTCTTCCACGGGTTCACACTAGCTCATTGTTGGAATTGCTACATTGATTCAAACCAGATCAGTGAAGGAGAGGGAATGGGACAATATGGACTCACACGAAGTTACAATTGGGAAGGGGGCTTTCTTGGATTCTCTCCATGTCATTCCTGTCAATTAACACAGTGGGAAGCAGAGGGTTCACACCAGGCTGGTATTTAGGAGGCGAGTTCATAGGTTCACACCAGGTCAATATTTATGAGTGGACAGCACAGGTTAACAGCAAACCACTGCTGAAGATTAGGGTGTAGTGGCACACACGGTGTCAGTGTTGAGAAGGGCAGTATGGGTTCACATTAGGGCAGCGTTGGGAAGAGATTCACGGGGTCATTGTGTCAATGTTGGGGGAGGGCAACAGGGGTCCACGCCCACTATGAGTTGATGGCAGTGACTGTTACACTTATTGGTACAGAAGGCACAGCAGGCAACGACTGCGTTGTTACAGCGAGGGCCGTCGTCGCCTCGCCTGCCTCAGCTGCAGTGCGCAGTGTACTGGCCTGGCTTTGGCATCGCTCCCAACGTGAGTGACAGCTAAGGGCAGATCCCTGTGGGTTCCTCTTCTGCTGTATGCTAGCCACCAGCACGACTCAGGCCTCTGGTTGCTATCAGGACGGCTAGCACCAAGCATGGGGCTTGTGCCCATATTTACCTTGATATCTTCCCTACTACATGATTCACATACCTAAATAAATGAACGTGTTAGTTAATTAAATCTAGTTCTAACTTAGATTCCTCTTATTGTCTGATAATCACCTGCATGCAACTGATCCTTGCGGCCGGACTTGGATTCAGCTTGCATTAGATATGCCGCTACTCACTGATGATATGCTGCCTACTTTTTCCGATACCAATCAATCGCCTGTATAATTATGTGACCTTAATCTGATGCTTAACAATAGTGTGAATTGTATTACCTTTCCCCATTGATTGGTTCTCTTTTTGCATTTTCCCATTTAAAATGTTGTGACAAAAATATTGGTTTTGAAATATTCATAGTGAAGAATTTTGCATTATATAAAGTTCCTCACAGCTGGAACATTATACAATACTTATTTTATGCCAATGTTATCAGTTTATTATAATTTATTTTTTTATTCTATTAACTATAAATTCCCTTTCACCGAATTATTGTACCTTGCAGATTTCCCCGGGCAGCCATTCTTGGAAGGAACCTATTCCGATGCCGACGCCGCCACAGCTGTCCCCACGAGAGCCTGGAGTAGCTTACATATACACATACGGCAACACAGGAGGTCCGGGGGTTCAGCCCTTGCCACCTCTTAACTACGTCAACGTCCCTGGCCCTCACTCAATCCCGCCCAGCGAGGGCGCTCCATCACCTACACCCTCATCTCAGCTACAGGGACAGCCCATCATCTACCACTACTCGTACCATTACACCATCCAGCCAGGACAACAGCTACCAGAGGGGGCTCCACCGCCTCCATCCGGAGGGATCGTCTCCACCTCCCCTCCAGCTCTGCAGATGGCGCCAGCCTCCCAGCAGCCTCCCCACTCTCAGTTCATCCAGCGAAGTTATACTTCTTCTAGTAGTACTCAGTCCAGTCACACTGGCCAGCCAGGTCAACCCGGTCAACCAGGTCAGCCAAGTCAACCAGGCCAGCCAGGTCAACCAAGCCACCCAGGTCAACCAGGTCAACCTGGACAACCTGGCCAGCCAGGTAAACCAGGCCAGCCAGGTCAACCTGGATATCCTGATCAGCCTGGTTATCCTGGTTATCCTAGTCAGCCTGGTTATCCTAGCAAGCCTGGTCAGCCAGGTCAGCCTGGTTATCCTGAGCAACCTGTCAGCCCTGCCCACCCGAGTCAACCCCAACCAAATTCTTCAACTATTGTCAACTACAACATTCACTCCAGTTCTCGCACCACTCGCACCACCCGCAACGATACGACCACAGTGGGTTACCCAGGTAGTCACCCAGAACATGATGGACCTTGTGGCCCTTATTGTCCTGGTGGCCCTCACAGTCCTGAGGGCCCTGGTGGCCCACGCCGCCCAATTGACGATCAAATTTATCCTAGTAAACCATATGGACCAGGAAGTCCCAATGGGCCAAGTGGCCCTGGTGGGCCCGGCAGCCCGAACGGACCATCTGAACCTGGACATCCCGGTAACATTTCTATCACAATCAACAAGACAACTACATCTCACACTGTCCTACCTGGAGGCCACCCTGGAGGCCCTGATAGTGACGTGCCTCCTGTTACCTCTACTCCGTACCCCAGCCGTGGTCGCTCCGTGTCTCCAGAGCCCCGCTCTCCATCCAGTCACACCCCACAGTATGTCACCTATGAAACACATGTCACAAGGTCGTCACACTCAGACTCGCTAGATCGCGTAAGAAGGCCTAAGAACGAGACTCTTCCCTTCCCAGACACTTCACCCATACGGCCAAGTGGAGAACACAAAATCCCTCGCCGAATAGATGACCTCATGAACTCCTTCTCCGACTCTGAGGTGAGGGTTAAACATGCTTACTCTTTAAAGTGTTTGGACGGGTGTCTCCATGAGCTTCATCACCTGACAAACAAATAATAAGTGCTATCTAAAAGCTTCTAACTTGTATTTTCCACCCCCTTTCTACAGCAGTACATTGCAAGATTTGAGCATGAAATGACCTTACGAAAACATTCCCCTATTCCCAGGAAAGATGAGGTAATAATAGCTAGCAGCATTGATAACCACTGTTAGATTTTAGGCCGATCGAGCAATTCTGAGTATAGTTCAGTGCGTTAGTCCTTCACTTAGTACAACTGTAGTGGATAGGCTATAAACACCCCCGTGTCAGTTTTACTAATCAAAAACTAGCATTAGTCATTTATGTTCTGAAACAGGACACAGTAAAATAAAATGATACAAACGCTCATTGTTTTTGTAGGGTTTAGTTGAAAAATAAATCACATTTAATTATCAAACCTCGGTGAGTATCCCTCATATAAGCATATACAGAGCAAAAAATTAAAGCATACCCGACCCATATCACAGTAGTTTAATACTTAATGATCACTTAATGGTTTTTACAAGAGTAAAAGTATGTCTCACAAATTGTCACACAAGAACTGAAGGTGAGATAGATTCAGTGCAACACTTTGGTTTTAGATCAGTGACCGTTTTATAGAAGCTCATATAAATTAGTGGAACCTAAACTCAGTTTCACCGTAAAAGGTTGCGTAGTTTTTACGATCTGGTTTTTCTATTACTCTAAGAGAGTATTACATTCTTGTATGATCATTAATAAACAGAAATGTTACTGTATAGCCAGATGACATGAGAGAAGGTGAGCAGTGATTCGATTCACAGTTACAGTAGTAACTGTAACTATATTGATAATTAAGAAACTTCATAGTAACTCAAATGAACACAGTTTCTCCAAATGTTTTTTAACGATGCGGACATGTCGAATTTCTTGCAAAGTTTCCTTGTCTACCCGCTTTTATATAGTAAACCTGTCACTTATTCGTAATACTGTCAAGCACAGTATTCATCCTGCTTGTATAGAAGTTAACATCAAGAATCTCTCAACCTTCCATTCTTGGCGGTTTTCAAATTGTTCAAATTCTTTTGTAGTCACAGTCTGAGAGATACTGGTGAGTAAATGGTCGCGAGTAAGAATTATTAACGCAGGAATTAAAGATTACTTCAAATCTAGAAAGAAAGTGGATTTCAGTTTTAATGATCCTGACTGTCAACAGAACTTAATCCTTAATACCTCTCCAGATCCAGATACTCTAACCAAATCCATACTATTGTCGTTCCAAGCCATAAACTACAGTATTCTAGTCCATACATTATAATGCATGTATTTAGCTGAAATACCATAGTACTAGATAGGAAGTTAAATTTGTTTAGTCAAAAATATGTGAATATTTTAATATGTGACTTTGTCCAAGTGTTTAATCTAATAAACCTATTAATGTTTTCCAATATCTATATATCGATATCATATAAGATACATAACACGAAATATATAGTATGCAACGTTTTTATACATCTTTCATCAGTCATATTTCATAAGTTAATGTAATTTCTTTACCTTGCTACAGGGGCATCATAACTTGTGCCTCACGGGGATTTTACCTCCAAGTAACTGAATCTAAAACATGAACAATTTACCTTGCATCAAAGTATATTTATGCTAAACATTATATTTTCATTATCGGTGTATATTTTATAGTACACGAGGCTTAGATATCCATATGAACGAGAAATATACTTACAGGTTCAATTAAATTTTATAATATATATATATATATATATATATATATATATATATATATATATATATATATATATATGTCGTACCTAGTAGCCAGAACTCACTTCTCAGCCTACTATGCAAGGCCCGATTTGCCTAATAAGCCAAGTTTTCATGAATTAATTGTTTTTCGACTACCTAACCTACCTAACCTAACCTAACTTTTTTGGCTACCTAACCTAACCTAACCTATAAAGATAGGTTAGGTTAGGTTAGGTAGGGTTGGTTAGGTTCGGTTATATATCTACGTTAATTTTAACTCCAATAAAAAAAATTGACCTCATACATAATGAAATGGGTAGCTTTATCATTTCATGAGAAAAAAAATTAGAGAAAATATATTAATTCAGGAAAACTTGGCTTATTAGGCAAATCGGGCCTTGCATAGTAGGCCGAGTACGACGTTCTGGCTACTAGGTACAACATATATATATATATTATATACTGCATATTTATATATGTATGCATGCACTTCAGGGATATTCCTGAAAATATATAAACTGTATATACACTAATAGTATACTTCTCTCCTGCACTATGTTTAGGAACAAAGTATACTTGCTGGTTGTTCAGTAAACTATTGAGGTAGCTTTAATAACCCCTTTGTGATTGATGGGCATTAAGCTCAACACCAGGTCAAAAACCACATGTAAAATCTGGAATAACATTATTGGAACATATTACTAATACAAATATTCATGTCTGGGAGGTAAATTTTGAACTTTGCATCATCAGGATGGTCCAGCTGGAGGGGCGCCTGCCCGCTCCCCGAACCGGAGGGATCCCGCTGACCAGGAACCTCTCCTGCCCGCCAACAACCAGGTAATGGACGATCCGGATCCACGTCTTCTAACTTCCACGCTCTATACCTTTCAAGTCCTATACCAGTAAAGGTCTATACCAGCCAAGGCTTTTACCAGTCAAGGCCCATACCATCCACGTAACTGCTTTCTACATATATCACACTTTCTATCTCTGTTTTTCTTCTTATTAATCTGTCTTTGTGATCTATGTTTATGGTTGCAGCCATCTCCTCAGTAATATATCTCTGATGATTTTCCACATGATGTAATTAAGTTCTTTTCTCAGTGGCATATGCACCCACATCGTTCAGTAAGAACACAGATGGAAGCTGGCTTATCCTGGTCACTTGGTACACAAAGTTGGGTTATCCTTACCACTTTGAATACAAAGGTAGTCAAGACTTCCTCAGGTCTGGATACAAGATTCCTGTCTATGGTTGTTACATGCTACGTAAAGCATAGTAAGGGAAACACACACACATGATATTTTTTTCCATGAGGAAGGAATGTTTTTAGTGTGGTCTAAACAACTCGTCTCACTATAGCAAGGAATGCATTCTTATTTAATTCTTGAAAATTAAGTTTTCATTGTTGGAGGAGAGCTGCATTGTAGGGCGAGCTGAATATACACACAGGTGATGTTCACAGCATACTACTATAAGACTGCTGGTGTTATTTACAGTGTAGGATAAGTTTGTAGGTGATGTTTCAATGTACTAAGCGACTATATTTATCCAAAGTAACCTGGTGGTGGTTCGTAATATACTGATTAGACAAAAGGCCAGCGTTGTAGGGAACAGGAAGCTCGTAACACATCATTTTCCATTATTTTGTTATATATACTGTACAAAATTCTTATAAAATTTGTGATCTATAGTCTTAGGGTATCCCGCAGGTCTCAGTGAGGGCAGATGCAGACGCCAAAGCCTTGGCTGTGACGGACGCAGAAAGCAAGCGAGAGTTAACGAAGAACAAGGTTGGAGCTCCCGTATACTACCCTCCTGGCCACGAGCTCTTCCATGAAACTATGCATGTTAGTACAGTACTAAATTTATGTTTTGAAGATATTTTTGTTCTCTTTTAAGTTATTGTATAACATCCACGTATTACAATCCCATTTACTCATTTTCTGTAAAATGTCTTGCAGGGTAATCAATATATACTGAATTATAATCTCCACAAAAGTGCATTTAATCACACAAACTATGCATGAAATCTTTATTGACAAATTCAAATTTTGTTTGGTTTTTCGACGTAATCCAACTATTTGTTACTGCAGAATATAACCTTCAGTAGATGATTAATTACACTATTTGTGTCGGCAGACTATGACACTGAAGGAGGGACGCCGCCGTGGGAAGGCCAAGTGGAGAATGGAGCGAGCATCAGGCTACAAGGAGAGTTCCTCATCGTCTGAGACTAAAGGAGGCATGGCCATGGTTCCAGTATGTCTGCCCCTCTGCTGTGGTGCTGCTTGTGTTATTATGTAATCATTTGGTTATATTGGTACTTCCACCATTTCACTTTTCACAATATTAGTGCCTTAATGGGATTAATAATTTTGATAACGTCAGCAAAGAGATTTTGAGTCCGAGTTTGCTATGAAAATCAGGTGATGGATATAGCAATAACGAAGAATGTACATATTTTCTTGGAAACAAGTTTGTATACTGTATTTGTAGTAATGTGACAAGGCTGACATGAGGCATGGCCACAAGAGCCAAAGCTTCGCAATTGTTAAATAACTATCGAGGCGACGGCTATAGGAGTCCGTTCAGGGAACCCACCGTCGAGCGGGTGCTGCTTGTTGCTGTTGTATCGTCTGTGCTTAATATTTGACACTAGATATAAGGTGAATGCTTGCTATTATACACACCTTAACTTGTGCTGGAGAAATGATCAAAGGTGTAGCTAGATGCAGAACTTGAGGAATCAAATTGTTTTGTGTAACTCAAGGCGTATCTGATCCAGGACATGAGGACGTGTTTAATTATCGATACTTTCATAACAGAGTACGTGTATAGTCTTCTTATACTGCTGTCTTTGAAGAAAATTTACAGAATAAGTAGTGTTATTTATGTAAAAAATACATTGTTGTTATCACCTATGTAGACTAAAATTCATTGATAAATATGTTTGGTTTTTATAATTTCGGTGTCTTAAATTATTAGCATTAACATGGATTCTGTACCGTTGTTGAAATGCATAGTTTAATTTTGTATTTAAATTTTACCATTCAGTCACATTTTAATTCATCAAATATGACGTGAATGGCCTATAAATCTAAAGCTGAGCATGTATAGGAAGGAACACGAAGCTTGATGCCCCTACTTGTAATTACATCAGTCCTGGTTGAGCTCTCAAGGGGGATTACAAACTGCAGTGGAAGCCTCACCTGATTTACTTTTTTTTTTCTAACAATTCCGCCCCACCCCTCTTTCAAAACTAGGCCACACCTTTTTCGGTTTTCCTGGTATCTGTATACCCAAAGGAACCCTTATCACCTTTACGTGTGTTCATAAGCCTGGGTATCAATCCAAAGTTAGCACTTGGTTTTCACTGAACATGAAGCCTAATAAAATCCAGAACACTGTCCCCTTAATATGAAATAAATCCCACTTGCAGTCTCTCTCTCGTAACGATGGTTGTTGTGGTGCTCGTCACATAAGGTCTGTTTCTTAATCCTGTGGCAGTTACTTGGGTTATATCTCAACAGCGGAATGGCGATCTGTTTGATATTATGCTTCAGCTAAACCACCAAACGCAAGAAGAGTTATATAACACAAGGCTTTTGCTGTCACACGGTATAACATTCAGGCTAATAGTCTTAAGGCTGCCTTAACTTGCAGTTTGTCCCTATGACTTATCTGCACTTCTGCCTATTTTATGCATTGTTTTATAAAATATTTCTTAAGCAAAAGAAATGTTAGCTCACTGAGAAATAATGTTTTAAGATGTGTTATGCTAGTAGCTGTACAGTACTGATGAACCTTTTAGCACTGGTGCTAAAAATTTGCCATAAACTTTATTGTTAATAGCTATAATATTGACACTAAGAAGGCTCTTATATAGAGTTAGTAGAGATTATCACACAGCTCGCTGCAACTATAAGACGGCTAATGTGATTATTAATGAAGTAACGGAGATGGCTGAGAGATGCCAGTTGCCGCTTCCCCGACTCTACACACACGTATTTTTTAAACAAACGTACTCCCCAGAGTGGTCATAATTTGATTATGTATGTGCACATTATGGCTTTCCTGATTATGTGTCAGTTTCGACTAACTGGAAATATATTTCAAATGAATTATTTGTTTATCTTATCCTTAATGATGTTGGAGTTTAAACATGAAACGCTGACTCTGAAAATGGCTAGCATGTGACACTGTTACTCGTACTGATTCAATGTAATTAACATTCTCAACAAACATGTTAAGGGAGTAAATGATGTGTACAAATAAATGGAAGAGTTTTAACAATATAAATGGACAGCTATGAACATCGCTGTTCCTGTATACATTAGCGGATCTCTCTCATGCTGATCATGGAAGCAGCCAACAAAACAAGTCACCAGTCTTTTCGTGTATCACCAAATTTGGCAAACGTATTAAAAAGCGAGAAGAATCGCACTGTCTCGCGGGTTCTAGCAAATTCTCGGACGCCTCTGACGCCAGTGTTGTAATGCACACGACAAGCATCCCTCTGGATTTATTTACGCTTTTCTTTGGGTTTTTAGTGGTTTTGTGACTACAATTTGTAACGCATGATGTCGCCAAAGAAGCTGCTTGCTAAAGATAGTGTTGTCAAGAGGAAGAAAGACACAATTACTGTGGATTTGAAGAAGGAAATTACAGCAAAGCATGAGTGTGGTGTCTGTGTGACTGACCTCACAAGGGAGTATGGCAGGTCCTCATCAACAATTTCCACCATTAGTAAGGGAATGAGGAGGTATGGGAGGATGCTGCCTCTTCCACTGAGATCAGGGAAGTGTTGGGAATGTTTGAAAAGGTGAACGCATTCTTGGAAAAGCTGCTCTGATAAAGCAGTGACAACCCAGTGTGTGAAAATGTTTACTTAATTTATCGCTTTGTGAAAGTGTTATCACTTTCGCAGGTATATGTCGCTTGAACGTGACACTTTTTATTCTTGAATGCACCCAAACACCGCGCTCAAGCGTCATTTGAGCAAATATTTCTATAAAATCGAATTCTTATCTGATAGACTTGGGTATAGTATAAACATGTTTGCCATGAAATTTCCGTTTTCTCTAATAGCCAAATAGCCTATTTGGGAGAACGGCATTGTATTGTATCTTCGTGGTAAAACCATTGTATTGTTGACACGACGAGTGTAATCGACGTAGTTTTTTATTTAGTGCTGGTCTAACGCATCCTTGTGTGACATTTGAAATGAAATTTGGGTGAAATTCCCAAGAAGAGAGAGTCCGCCTGACTCAGAGGTGGAGTCTCCTTCCACACCATAACCCCTCTCCTTCCCACCACCTTATCGTCTCCCTTAAGCCAGCAACTACTCTTCATATGGCAAACATTAAAACAGTATAACAAAATTATAATTACATGTGCAGTATTATATTTACATCAAAAAATGTCATACAAGTATGGATGTTTTTGGGAGTGGAACGGATTAAATTTATTTCCTTTATTTTAAACGGGGAAATTTGTTTAAGACATATTTTCCAGATAACGAGCTCGGTGCCAGAACGGATTAAACTCGTTAATAGAGGTTCCCCTATATATAAAATTATTATATATATATATATATATATATATATATATATATATATATATATATATATATATATATATATATATATATATTATATATTCCCCAAGCCAATATGCAACCGAAAACTCCTCACCCCTGAAGGATTCAAACCCTGCACCTTAGCGTATCCAGTACTTAATCCACTAGACCACATTGTTCAAAAGGATTGGAAGTCGTCAGACACTTAACCCAACCCCCGACAGCACTCTAGAGTGCTGTCGGGGGTTGGGTTAAGGGTCTGACCTTAAATTAATATGATATTTGTAAGGGTTTGACCTTAATATATGTAAGGGTCTGCACCTAAATATGATATCTGTAGGGGGTCTGACCTTAATATGATATCTGTAAGGGTCTGATGTGATATCTGTATAACCTGTCTAGCTTGGTGGCCTGAAGATACCATATTGCAGATGGTGAACCTTCTGCTACTCTGTTGTAGATGGGCTTTGTAGCTTACAAGATTTATTGATGAAAATTACGCCATCCAAGAGGTTCACGGGCATGAATAGCCCATAAGTGGTAGATTATTTTTGTGTGTGTGTGTGTTTTGTTTTTTTGTAAACGCTGAGGTAGCTGTGCTTAGGTCGCATTTAATCATCAGACTGCTATCACAGGGGAGGATACTGCATGACAGTATTTATGAGGGTGTCCAGCTGCTGGACACCTTTTTTTTTAACCAGAAGAGTGGCAGTGTTGATGGTTTCAGTGGGGGTTACTGCAAAATACAGGGACTCTTAAAGCTCTTCTAAGGTCGTTGGTTGCTTCACATTCCAGGAGATAGTGAAGTAGTGGTTTTTCTGTGATTGTTTGACAGAAGGTGCAATCCCACTGTCTCGGTTCACCACTCACCAATCAGCCTGTAAAAAAGGATAGAGTAGCTTGGGCTATTTTTATCCTTGTAGGGTGAGGAGTTTGTTGCGGGACTCCGGCTTCTAGCTGTCCATAAGGTCTTACATCTTCCCTCTGGGTCAATGGAGGACCATCGAACAATTGTATGCTCGAAGTCGAATTCATCTGGATGTTGATTACTGGTGTCAGCTCCAGAATGAACACAGCATCAAGCATACGAAGCTCCCTACGACCGTCAATGCGTGTGATTATTGTCGTATCTTTCATAATGTCTTGATTCAGGATGTTGTTCTAATATTGAAAATGTTGCTTAATACCTCCGTCTTGCAAATGAAGTGTAAGACGTCTATTCAATGTATTCATGGTATGTCTAATGTCTAATGTAACATATGTTTCTGAGCGCACATTTGCGGGGAATTTTACCCAGCAGGAGTTTGTTGGAGTACTGTTAAATTACTAGCTGAAATCTACGTTAAAAATTATTAAGTGGACTCTATAATGCAAATGGACTGTATTATATTGATTAGTCCTGCTGGGATGGGGGGGGGGTATCCTTCCACAAGTTGGGGGGTTCATACCGTAGCCTATACCACCAATGGTGGGTAACAAAAAACTACGAAATGTTAGTTAGGTTACTACATAGGTTAGCTGAACGGTAAGGCTTATCTCGAAGAGTCGCAAAGGCCTGGCAATAGGCACGAGTTTCCTTCAGATAATCCTGGAACCTTGTAGGAACACTATGGTGACTTACTATAGAGAGAAACGCTATGGTGGAGCCTCGTGGCGCACCAGTTAGACTATACTGTCTGCTCATACTGTACTTGCCACTTAAATTATAAGTAATACACTCTTACCACTACACAGCATATATTCCAAGAAGATGGGTTTGTATTAATAATTTGGCTTACCCATTTAATTTAGAGCGCCTTCGTTATAACCGGGCAACGTTAAAACGATCGTGATAATGGCCACTAACAGAACTACAACAATTGCTCGGAAATAACACTTCCCTGGTACGATGAGTTCGATGGTTGGGCAGAAATTGTACTCTTCCTGTGTCACGAACTTGGGAAATGTAACTACGTTTGTCAATTAAGAGAAAAACGTGCAAGAGTCTTCTGTGCCAAGCGATCAGGTCGTGCTTCTGGTCTCAACGACTCGCGTCTAATGTCGTCTGGTCCCTCCCCGGCTGGGGACGCCCCCTCAGCTTGGCTCAAAACTCATCATTATTGACATAAGGAGAACGACGCTTGATTTACTGTTTATTTAGTTAAAGTAACTATTAATAAGTACTTTTTTTATCTTATTTATAGTCTTTACACTGAAAATTTTATGTTACTACAGGAGAGAGGTTATTCCTTATAGCGGATTTTGCATACGTGGCAACATCCCGTTTTCTCTGGAATGTTATTAAATCCGTTCTTTTTGAGAAGTTAGTAATATTTACAATATTAGTATGTACCTGGCATACCCGCTTTAACTTGTATGTCACGGATTAGTAGATAAAGTGTCGAAATTTCCGACAACAGTCTCCAGAGCTGCATTTGTATTGTGACACTACATTAGTATACTTCAGTTTGTCAAGAGGAGGCAGAGATATCCTTTCTCATGAGGAAAAATGTATGAAGGTTGTTATAATAAATTATATAAGGCATCCTTGCATTTTTACTGCAAGATTTACAATTTGTTAATTATATTTTGTATCACCTTCTCATCTTCTTGTATGCATAAGTGAATGTATATTTGTAATGCACTACAATGTTATCTCTTGGGGGGCGAATTTTCCACCCCTGGGACCTAATTATCCTGTCAGATGGCGGCCTAGCTTCTTACTTACGATTTCGTCGAATTCTGTATTGCTGTAATCGTTGTTCAAAAAAATTTGGCGGATTTGTTCAAGTTCGTGATGCAAGTGCTGCCAAGAAGAACATATTACGTATTGCACGACCAACATATGGAATGAAGACTCTTCTCTTATACCTGTCGGTGTATTCATTCTTATTCATATATTTTCCTGCATCAGTTGATTTACGATACACATCTGTAATGAATGTACCCGAATTACCGTCAACGAGAACATCGTGGAATGGAATCTTGCCTCCTTCACTTGTCTCAACAGTGAACTTCAAGCCTGAGAATTCTTGTAGCTTGCCACGAAGCCTCTCCAATGTGTTATCATTGTCAACACGCACAAATATACCGTCGGCGTTTCTGCAGTAGATACTACGGTTCAGCCCTTCCTTCTACATGACGGACGACTCAACATGAGACATGAATGCCTCGTGGATACTAGACGATGCACATGTTGGTTTAACTGACATAGGCAATCCACCGTTGGTTTACCTGACGTACGGACTCCCTGTTGTAGGTTTACCATACGTAAGGTCTCCCCCAATAAGGACTCCTAAACAACTAGAAAACACCTGCAACATAAATATAGAGGAATAAATTCAGGCAATTTGCTAACAACGAATATTTTATTGTTTATACAAATTATTATACAATATTGCATTTGCAATAGAAGATGGACTGACAGTACAAGAGGAGCAAATTGAGCTACGGAAATGTCAGTGAACTAATGAGAAGGAAACAGAAAAGAGAAGCGAGAATTTTCAAATATCTAGAACAGGTTCCCAAATAATATATACTACAAATCAATGAACAAAGCGGTGTATAATGAATTGCAAATAATAGATTGACTTTATTTAGATTGAAAATAGATAAACCCAATCAAGAGTCATCATTAGCTACCACAAGGATGAAAGAAGAGATAAAAAAGAAAGATATATATATGCTCTGCACTAGCATATATTAAGCATTACTTCAGGAATCATCACAGTTGCGCCTCTGCCAATTTTCTAACCCTATTCATATACGCCTCTAGAAATAATTGTCAATGGTCACTGTTGGGGGTCTATAATATCACTGCAGTGACAGCCTGGGTACTCACAACTGTTGTGTGTGTCTCAAATGACTGGCAGCCCATCCATTTGGACACGTCGGTAGAGCGACCTTTCAGAGTCGGGTCTCAATCTCCGATAATCCAGATGGCTGGGCGCTTAAAACTCATTATCTTACGACCTGATCCTACTACTGTCAGGTGCGTACATGGGGCGCATCTTACGACTGCCAGAAGCACACATGGTATGTAATTTAGGACTGCCAGTGCGTTTATATAAATAAGTACTAGGCACCTGACTGTTACCCTCTGCGTAAAAACGCTCATAGTATTTATTCTTACATAATTTATTTTACAAGGCTTCTTGGAATATTATATATATATATATATATATATATATATATATATATATATATATATATATATATATATATATATATATATATATATATATATATATATATATACACACACTTAGTGGTTCAGAGGCAAAGAAAAGTTTTTGCCTCTGAACCACTATCTGCATACTGTACTTATAGTCGCAGACAACGATAGCCTATATAGGAGGTGACAAATTTCTATGCATATGACTAAACAGAGTCATTCCTACATCATATTATTTCGTCTAACGTTTTTAAAAAAATATATTTTCCTAAGTTAAAAATATGAGCACAAGATTCAGGTTAAGGATTGTAGATAATATTATCCTCGGTGGCTCTGTATCTCATGGCGCTTCTGACGGAGGGTGGAGGGCCGTAGTTGTCGTTGTCGGATTCGTAAGCGTCGTTGACGTTGCCGCCGCCGGGGGTGAAGACGCGCTGGTTGTCCGCCTCTGAGGCGATCGACGCTCGTGTGCGAGGCTGCGAGAGACACGTCAGGCGTTAGTGAACAAGGGACGTTGAGTAGACATGTGGTTATATATATGATCTATGTAGCTTCTTCATTAAGCTAACCTGTCTCAGTTTATCAGAATCGTGTCTATTTACAAAGTTATTTAAATTAAAATTCATAGATAATGCTTAATTTGGTTAGACTTTTAGGTTAGATAATGAAAGCTGGGCTAGATTTTTTATTAGATTTTGTGCTTCTAGTTGGGTTAGGTCTAAGTTAGCTATGCGTATAACTACAGTATAGTTTTTCAACGTAGTTCATTTAGGCAGAAAGAGTAACTTCCTTTCTTCCTTATTGTGTAGCTTCGTTAGTGCACACTGAACAGCAGATAAATAAACAGCGTTTTTCTATATGATTATAATTGGTGTTTAGTCGTGTAATCAGACAACCTGACACTACTGGAGTATAAATACAGTACACCTACTCTAACACTATTGGTCCCTTCCACAATACACCTATCCTTACACTACTGGTCCTTCTCCTACAATATACCTATCCTTACACTACGGGCCCTTCCAACAGCACGCCTAGCCTGGACATTACTGGCCACTCCCACAGTTCGCCTGCCCTGACACTTACTCTGGCCTGAATGGTTAGCGGTTTACAAATGTTAAAAATAAAACAAAACAAAAACTGAAAATAACCTCAATAACAACACAGATTTGTATGTAAAATATTTAAACCAAATATACAATGAAATATTTCAGACAATAATTTTAACAACGCAGGATACGTCAAGCCAACGCTACTTAGACACAGACAGACACAGATGGTCAGAGACCACGGAAGCAGTTGCAGTTATCAACACTGGCATTACAGACCATTACAGGCATTACAGATTATGTGTTGTAATGCCAGTTATCAACACTGGCATTACAACACTGGCATTCTGTTGCGTTCAGAAATTATAGAATAATATATACAATAACAATTAAAATCGAAGAGGAGACTAAAATAGCATGAACGGGGAATGATGTAAGGTACACAGTGAAAAGTTAAAGAGCTGTGAGGAAGTTAAAATAATAAACAGAAAAAGTTATATTCATCAAAAGGTGAACACAGTTTCTCGGTGTATATACATTTTTTTTTATCTCAACACTATATGTAGTACTAAACTATACATGGTGGTTGGTTAGCAAGCAATTGAATTAATTAGCCTTAATAACCCTCCATAAGTTGACAGGCCTTAAGCCCAACACCACCAAAATCAGGGCCTGCAAGGAATATATTCATGAAAGTTGTAATCCACTTTTCTGTGTATATATATATTGAGTTTACTTTAGCTCTCGACTAAGCCTTGGATTAAGGTATACTTGCTGGTTAGTCAAGAAACAATTGTGTAACGCTAATAACCCTCCAGTCTCCAGAGGATGGCAGGCCTTGAGCCCAACACCAAACAAGACGCCCTCTAGAAATTATTCATGAAAGCATATTTTTATTGTGTGTTTATACAACTAAAATTGATTTTAGTCCTGAAATTTAGTCGCGATTGACGAACACTTACAGGTGTACCGAGAAGCAAGGCGAAAGCCAAATACAGCTGAGGCAGAGCAAGAGGGGTTACCGAATGGTAAAAATTATACACAGGCGTTTTGCATGCAACTGGTTCATAAATGTTACAATTTCATCTGGGCGACTTACCCAGATGAAAACCTAGGAACAATGAGCGCTTTAGTAGAATGACCATAAGAGGCGGGAGTGTTAGCTAGAAGGAAGGTAGGGGACAAGCCTGCATGCGGTGGCGGCAGCAGGGAAGATAGGTATACCACTCAGAAGTGATGATGTGAAGGGTAGGGGTGGTGAGAGGGAGGGCTGAAGAGCCTCTGGTTGTCCACGTCCGAGGTGATAGAAGAACGCGAGCGCGGCTGCAGAAGAATCACAGGTTAGTGGCAATGCTGACAGCAGCATCGCCAACACCAACGTCCACTTCCCTCCCCCCTGGATCTATTCTTGGCCGGGGGGGATGGGAAGTGGATGGATGCAAGAGCTTTGATGTGGTGGAGCTGTATTGTGAAGGGTTGGTTGAGATTTGATATGGTGGAACTATACTGCTGATGGCAGGAAGAGCTTTGGTGTGGTGAAACTTTATTGTGAAGGTTGGGAGGTGATGGAATTTTACTGTGAGGTGGTGATAGAGATTTGGTGTTGTGAAGTTTTATTGTGGGAGACTGTAGGGTTTTGATGGGTTGCTGTATTGCGTATGGTTGATACAGCTTTGAAGTAGTAGAGCTTTATTATGGAGGGGTTGGTACGGTGGAGGTGTAGTGGAGCTATATCCTGGAGGGTTGCTGAGTCTTATGGTAGTAGGTGGAGGAATGCAGGTAGGTGTTACGGTAGTGGGTGGAGGAATGAGGTGTGTGTTATCAAACACGGTGGAGGATATAGGTGGGCATTATGGCATTGGTTGAATGAAACTAGGTGGATCTCATGACAACTGGTGGACGGAAATAGGCAAATCTTTTACAAGTGGATCTGAGACATGTCTGTAGTTCTTATGGTAACGGGACAATGAGTGGAATACGTTATATGGTACATTTGGGAGGAGGGAGGTTAGGTTAGGTTTCACGGTTCCATTCCTGTGGGGTCTCACGGTAACACTTTTGTGGTACCGTAACAAAGAAACCGCAGCTCCACTGTCTGTTTGGATGGATTAGCATACAGTAAGTATACTCTTATCCCAACAGGTGTTAAACATGTGTTGTGTGTAGAGAGAGACTGCATTCATTGTGAGATTTGAGCAGAGAGAGAGCAATACAAACTTTGACCAGCCTCAGTATCATAAGTGGGATTAGATCTATTACACCCATATGTACAATCTCATGATATTAGGAATATATAAGCCATTTTTTTATATTAAATATTCATGCTTGATTTAATGTGATGAGTGTGCATGCAAGAGTTGCTGAGGGAGGTGAGTGTGTGCTGAGAGAAGTAGTGGGAGGAGTTACTGTAGGGAAGGTGAGTGCTGAGAGAAGTAGTGGGAGGAGTTACTGTAGGGAAGGTGAGTGCTGAGAGAGGTAGTGGGAGGAGTTGCTGTAGGGAAGGTGAGTGCTGAGAGACGTAGTGGGAGGAGTTACTGTAGGGAAGGTGAGTGCTGAGAGAGGTAGTGGGAGGAGTTACTGTAGGGAAGGTGAGTGCTGAGAGAGGTAGTGGGAGGAGTTACTGTAGGGAAGGTGAGTGCTGAGAGAGGTAGTGGGAGGAGTTACTGTAGGGAAGGTGAGTGCTGAGAGAGGTAGTGGGAGGAGTTACTGTAGGGAAGGTGAATGTGTGCTGAGAGAAGTAGTAGAAATTTACAGTATTTGGAATAAATTTTTGCATAGAAAGTAGAATAAGAAAACAGCATTCCATAAATATGTATAAAATAGAATTGCACTCATTAAATAACACATACAGTAGGAAAGCCTACAAAATAATATATAAATACTTTTTGTTATTTTTTCTCGACCAACAAAATAATTTCATTATCTAATTGCCTTTCAAAAATTTAAAAATCAGTCAGCCAAGCATATCATACAGCTGCAATGGAGTATAAGTAACAAATCCTAGCAGCATGATCACATAGCCTAGCAACAGGGGTCATAGACATGGTCACATAGCCTAGCAACAGGGGTCATAGACATGGTCACAGAGCCTAGCAACAGGGGTCATAGACATGGTCACAGAGCCTAGCAAAGGTCACAGAGCCTAGCAGCATGGTCAAACTGTTGGGTTCAACATTACTGAGCTAAACACTCGCACAAAATCTCACAAAGCAGAAATGTGTGACCTGCTTAGAAGACAACCCGTCCTCCTAATAGAACGTCGCATTTTATACTATACCTAAGGGCAAAAATCGTCGTACTAGAAAATGGGAACGGATCGCGAAATTGACATACTGTCCCGTCTTCTATTTGGGGTCCTCTGGTAGGTAAGGATAAGGCACTTTAGTACGACAGTTTCTTGACGTTGGGAAACCTTAGGAGGACGGGCTGCTAAAACCACCAAAGCGACTGTAATAACATGTTCCCAACACAATATGGAAATTATTATCTAAATAATTAGAATAATCATTTGACTTAAATACAGACTTCAACAAACTTTCACAGACAATGAACACTGAACATGTAATACATGAAGGCTGTAAAGATGTCTTGTTTTACCTTAAACAGCCTAAATGACTTCTACGGCAGCAGAAAAAGAAGTGCGCTGTTTTGAAGGGAAAAATAATGTTATTTCTAGAGTTGGAACAATACAATCAATCTTACGTCATCTTGTGCAAAATAATACAATCTAATATTTAACATACTAGTGGAAGATCGAATCACTCTATCAAATACTTCGCCAAACATTACATACATTATTTTTAACTTAATTGTACACGACTATTTAAATGTTCTTTTTTGATAATAAATGTGTTCATTAGAGGGATATACACCCAGAGGTATACTTCGCCTCTAGGCGTTTAGTACACTAAGAGTTTATTATGATGTATACCTGCCGGTTGGTCAGCAAGCTCTTTTGGTAGTGTTCATAACCCTTCCCGAGGTAGAGAGGCCTTAAGCCCTCCCATACCAGCGAGTCTACCCTTAACAAGAGCGCCAATCGTCACCCTCACTAACATGATGTACTATTGAAGTACATGATCAAAATGTGTAAATAAAAATTATCTGGTGTTACAGTTGCTTGCATAATGATAGCAAATGTTTTATCTATAACACCGATCTTACCCATGGTTTACACAGGCTAATGTATGGTTGACTGGCAATGCCATCCTGGTGTACTCAGTGTATACCAGCCGCCCAGTGTATATAAATACTCTACATTTAATGTTCACTTTACTTTAATGTTCATTCCAATAAGGGATTAATCCAACACGTAAGCAATATTCAGTTTACTACTATATATTTCTTTGGCATTTCGACCACAATAACATTCTTAACAATTAATTAGATTGTGGGATCCTATTCTATTGGTAGTAAGAGATTAGGCTGCGGCCGTGGAATTACGACGTGACGATAAATAAGGAATATTTTCGTCTGTTGTTGTTGTTTTAGATTTAGCTACTCAGGACATAATGTCCATGTAGCACGGGCTATAGTGAGCCCGTAATTGAGTTCGGTTATTCCCGATAACCATGTTACTGGGATATGATGACAAGGAGCTGGGATATGAGGAAAAGGAGCTGGGATATGAGGAAAAGGAGCTGGGATATGAGGCCAAGGAGCTGGGAAATGAGGGCGGAGTAAAGGAATGGTATCCAACCTCTTGGACCATCGGCGATCGAACGTCGACCCTGCAAGAAACGTTGCTCTGCCAACAAGTTCAAGTGGGTGAACAAGGAACTCGGACAAGGAACTTGTGATCTATAAAGACAAAGGGTTGGAATGAACATGCTTCAAGGCGTACCTTCTTGGCTCCCATGGTCTGCATTTTGGACTGTCGTCTTTCCTGAACCACCGTCTCTCGCCTCTCAGCCAGGGCCTTGATGGTCTCTCGACGCATGCTCAGACGACGCATTTTGCCGAGCACTGGCGTCTCTGTGGGCACCACAACAACAATTAGAGCACCGTTTTTCAACCAGTGTGCCGCGGAGTGCTCACAGGAAGGTCAAAAATGCCAGGAATAATAAGGAATATGAACATTAATTAAAAAAAAAAAAAATTGAAATCCATAATCAACATTACTTAAAAAAACAACGCTGTGATAAGAATTATAACGGTTGTAAATATTTTAATTCAACCTTTATACCCGTTTTTATATATATAACGTCTCTTCTTGAACAAAAATCTGGGACCAGATTCACGAAAGCACTTACGCAAGCACTTACGAACCTGTACATCTTTTCTCAATCTTTGGCGGCTTTGTTTACAATTATTAAACAGTTAATGAGCTCCGAAGCACCAGGAGGCTGTTTATAACACTAACAACAGTTGAATGGGAAGTTTTCACGCTTGTAAACTGTTTAATAAATGTAACCAAAGCCGTCAAAGATTGAATAAAGATGTAAACGTTCGTAAGTGCTTTCATGAATCTGGCCCCCATAGTCTTTAACCATTTTAGCGCCTTGGTTAGTGTGTCCAGACTTGAGAATGGTTGAAAATCTCTTGAGTTAGAGCACTCGATCTTTACACTCATTAGTGAGTCTTAAATTGTTCAAAATGTTTCATTGTTAATTCAAAATTAAAATTGTTAAAAGACAGAGACATATATTTATTAGAATGAGGCTTAAGACTGCATGTGTTAGACTTAGGATTACATATGTAGGCCTAGGACAGATTAGAAAACTCATAGGCTTAACCTAATCTGCCCTAGGCCCTAAAAAAGCAATTCAAAAGAGAGAGAGAGAGAGAGAGAGAGAGAGAGAGAGAGAGAGAGAGAGAGAGAGAGAGAGAGAGAGAGAGAGAGAGAGAGAGAGAGAGAGAGAGAGAGAGAGAGAGAGAGAGACAGACAGACAGACAGACAGACAGACAGACAGACAGACAGACAGACAGACAGACAGATCGACAGAGATAGAAACAGAAACAGAGACAGAAAACTGCTCGGGACAGCAATCCAGCTCACTAACAAGGCTCTGCCTCAGGCTACACTTTGGATAAGCCTCTAGTTCGCCTACCAGTTTCCATTCCATTTTCTGCGGCTTCAGCCGAGATGCTGAAGAAACGCTTCTTGAAGGCCACATCGAGCGTGCCAATGGCCTGCTTCTTTTGCCTGTGTCTTTCCAGATTGTGGATGGTCTTGCGTCTTCCAAGTTGACCTCCTTGCACGCTGTCGCTGTCATAGTCGCCATCAATGCCTTTCAATCTCTGTAGCTGTCGCACGATGTCAACAGCATTCCTTTGGATGAAGGCATCCTCTGTAGCGTCTTCAGCCTGGCAATGGTACAGTAGGAGTAATTGCAGCACTATAGTTTCAATACTGCTTTATTAGCTTTTCAAAATTTGTTCCAACATTATATTTCCATTATATATTGTTGAGAATTATAATATAATGAAGCATATTTCTGTAAATATGTTTCCACAGAAAGACAAACCAATATTTCAAAAAATATTTATTTACACATTTAAATATCCACAAATATTGATATACACTGTAAATATATTTCCATGAAAAACACACGTAATTTAATCATAGAATGCATATTTGGTGTTACGTTTAACCGATACCACATTCAAATTAATCTTACAAAATATACTTAACAAACCTTCTTATTGCAGCAGGTGAGTTCGGTGGAGGAGAGGATATGCGAAATAGTCCCGAAGCGATGGAACAACATGGCCACGAACTGGATGACTAAGATGAGGGCGAAGAAGAACACAAACACCAGACCAATGGGCTCCAGTTGGAGGTACTCTTGACTGATGAGCACCTGAGCGTCACACGGGGGAAGAAGCACACGTGAGACACGGGACCAAGAACACACGCGGTCGGTATCGCTACATTCTGGAGTGTACAGCTGAGGTAATTGACCCGAAATTCTGAGGTGCTAACAGGAAGGAACATTGCTCATTAATCCAGTCAATGAACCATGGGGGTAGATTGCTTTATGTAATAACAATGGTTGGCGCGAGTTGGGGGTTATCGCTATATATTTTTAGCTGCAAGTTTACCAGCTGACAAGGTGCTGATTGTGATATTTCAGGAACAAAACGAAAGTACATATGTTACTTTATATTGGAAGAGATGTATAAATATATTGAATTAGAAATTTGATGAAAGTTACATATATTATGGAACATTTCTCGTAATTAAGCAATCATTATATTAGGCTGCATTCCATACATATTTTGTCACCATATATTTAATTGCTGACAAATTAGACCAATACTCTTCTAAAACAATTTTATCTTACTATTAAACTCAAAGGAACAGAACTAATATATGACAGTGTCAGACCACGAAGAATTGAAAATAAATTTCGTTAAGTACTTTCGTATTTAAAAAATATATCTTCAGATATATTATTTTATCATATAATGATAAAATTAAACATAATTACAATCATTACGCGTTTTGTTATTTTGATGAATTTCTCTTATGTAAATAATATACTGAGTTTTTTTGTAAATTAACTAAATCCTTATCTCGTACAACCCTTTATGAAGTTATTTATTTAATTGTGGCGTAGAAAATACATCCCACCCCGGGCGATCATCATGAGTGTATCACGAGAGAAAACGAGTGATCACTTGGCTTGGAGGGCTGACTATATTGTTTCTTCCCAGCACACACTATGGGGGGACCCCAAAAACTCCTTGTCTAAATCTATTTCACACTCGTTAAAAATTGAACCCTGTTGTTATATATATATATATTATAAATGCAAAATACTAATAACACCTTATGAGTAATATACATGCAACAGGAAAAATATGAAAACGGATTAAATTCTCTTGTTTTGACTAATACGTGAACATGGCAGTCACGGAACAAGAGAAGACCATGCACAAACCACACACACACACACACAGTTGGCATGCACTGTGGAAAGACAAGATAAGGATTAGTTCATACCCTGAAAGGAAAACCAAGTAGTCATAACCAGTTCTCGCTGCCTATACCAACCAACAGAATAGAAACAATCAAAATGTAAATAAACTGTTCACGAAGATCACAAATAATTTAAGAAACATATTATGGGTGACATAGAGCCAATTAAAGGCATGACTATATATGAGATATAGTCATTTGAATGAAAATTTTCAATGCAATAATATATGGATATAATTGATTGCCCGTACATGTAGATGTGGCATCTCGACATATATATTCCTATCTCCCATCATGACCATATTGCTGCACTCTCACATACATACCCCTGCCCTCAATAATGCCCACATAACAGCACGCTCACTTGACCATGTAGCAGAACTCCCTACATGCCCTAACCTCCCATATAAGCCCCTTTAGCACCACTTTACATATGTACCTAACATATGCCGTGACTTTCAAATACATCCCAGTAGCAGCGCCCCCACATATGCTCAATTCAATTTCTTTCTTTATCATGCACCCTATACCCATCCCGTGGGCGGTGGTGTACATGATTACAGAGGCACATAATCGGTTCAGGAACTACTACCCACAACATTTCCATGTAGTCGTTATCCTCACATGTCCCTAACCTCTCCCACATGTCCCCCTTCTTGGTAGAGACATGTGGGGTAGGAACCCCTTTCCCCAACCAGCATTAACTTCCACTAGTACACTCACATTACCATCCACCACCACCACCGCATCTCCAATTACCCTGAACCAGCATCCTCCTCATCCAAAATCTCGCTGCCTGTCCCTCCTCGCCAATCCAGGCTACCACTGCATTACTACTGTTACAGAAAATACAGTGTTAAGTCAGATTTGAAGTCAAGGAGTTAAATTTACTTGTGAACTTGACTCCAGCAACGCAGTCAGATGTTGTAAGGATAGGAAGCTGAGGCAGGGAGAGCAACGGTGCCAGGGCTCCGTGGCTATAGTGACCCAGTGCCACGGTGCTAGGGCGTGACCCAGCTGCAGGGTCAAAGAGGAATGCATATTTTCATTGCTACAATAAATAGTTACATATTTTGGCGATCTAATATATCATACCTCAGCGAGAACTGGCTATAGAAGACCAGCCAAAAGTGGTCAAAATGCCGAGATAACCATTAAATAAGGACTTCTATGAGGCAAGGGACCTCCCTAAACAGAGAATCTGAGTTATACCTCATTAGAGCAATCAACCCATTCCACCATAGAGCGGAAACTATCACTAGGTGGGGAGATCCTCACTAGGTGGGAGATAATCACTAAGTGGGAGATCACTAGGTGGCTAGTAGATAGTCACTAGTTACTAAGTGGGATAGTCTCTTTGTGGGGGTAGTCACTAGGCGGGAGGGGTAGTCACAAAGAGCGAGGTAGTCACTGGTTGGGGAGTAGTCACTAGGGTTGAGGTTAGTGACAACAGCTATAAGGTTGGTAATGCCACTAGGTGAGGACAGACGCCACACACATACAACCATAACAAGGCCGGACAGGACTATCCAATCACTATTACTCTCAAAGTCACCTAAATAAGACTGAATATCATAATCACTTGATGAAAGAGATCACTGATAAGGGATGCTACTTAGGCAGACATTTTAGTCATAAATTACAGTCCCGAAATCCTTCATCAGGTAGGGATCAGTCGGCAGGTGGGATTAGTTCAAGGAGGCAAGAATCATAACTAATTGCCAATTGTCATCGACGCAGACGGTCGTGAGTAGGGTATACTATCAGCCGCAAAGTACATACAGTTACTGCATTTGTACCAAGCGCAGGTAGCCAGGATGTTAGGTACTAGGTACCCGGGTGTTAGTCAGCTGTCACGGGCTGCTTCCTGGGGGTGGAGGCCTGGTTGAGGACCGGGCCGCGGGGACACTAAAAAGCCCCGAAATCATCTCAAGATAACCTCAAGATAAGAAGGAAAACGAGGTAGTAACAGAGGCAGTCTTTACCTAAGGAATATAACTAGAAGTAATCTATCAGGTAAAGTTAAAGTCATATGGAGTTGATAACCTAACCCAAGAGCCGCCAGACGAACATAAAGGCAAGGAGAGTTATCAAACTGTTAAAGTTTGATATGAAGATATAATAATTACAAGATAACATTCAATTTTGAGCTATTACAGGTATGCTTCAAAAATTATTCATTTGTTTAAGCATTTTGCATATTATTGACAAAGGAATGCAAAATACCTTTACTTTGTTATAATAATTTTAAAGTGATACGCCTTTTAGCAATTTATAAAAATAATTAGCAACCTATGGAGTAAAACTAAAGTTTCACTGTGTTAGTAGTCAAAAGGTTCAAAGTTGTTTAAAAACTGGAATTTCAAAGAAAGGTAAAGCAAATTTATATTTTAAAAGATTAATATCATTTTAAATTTTAAGTTTATTCCACGTGCAATTTCAGAGCTGGCCAGCTTGTTCCAGGGTTAAACCGTGGCAATGTTATATACTGAACCACTGAATAGCATTGGATACACAATTCTTTTTTTGGATGGTTACATTATGTCTTACTTTAGTCTGAATACCAATTATTAAATGAACACACAGGATAATCGGTTTCTAATTTTTGGGTGATAACAGAAAACCATGAGGTCATTTCAGTCAGGTAGGTATCATGCTGAATCAGTGCTAGCATGCTAGGTCAGGAGTATGTCATGCGGGGGTCAACCTAGCTGTTGTAGTGGGTCAGCAGCTGAAGGCCACATGCAGTTGTGTAGGAGTAACCTCCCGTGTTGCCCCAAGAGTCTCTCATATTAAGAGGAGCTGAAGAGAGGACTGGTGAGGGTAGGGCCTGCAAGTCCTGGGGCACCACAAGTAACAGCAGCAGAGGCAGGATCCCGGTTACCTCCTGAGTTTCTGGAATAATAGTGATGTTTTCTTTGATGCCGAGTGGCCAGTCGATATGTAGTTCGTCTTTGTTGAGCTGGAGTAGGAACACGATGAGGACAAAGAGGGCGTTCAGCATGAAGAAACCGAAAAAAGATTTGTTTCTCAGCTCCTCTAACTCGATCTCGGCTTGTTTCTGTTGGGGAGACACGGACGCCACACACATCACAGACAAGTTACCAGGGACGGCTTTTCAACGTGTGTTAGGCTCAGGCCCACCTACCTCACTCGTCGCCTCGATGAAGGTAATGTTGGTCTTGACGCCTAGAGGCCAGTCGATATGGATAACATCTTTGTTCAGTTGGAGCAGGAAGACAATAAGAACAAAGATAGCATTCATCATAGTGAAGGAGAAGACTGCTATATTGCGAAGTTCCTTTAAGTCACCCTCCATTTTTTTCTAGAGGGGGGGAAGAGAAGGGGAACGGAGGGTGAGGTTAGTGCGTGCATACCCGTAACCTTGGAGAGAGACTTGCATTAATAAAGTCCATCTTAGAAGATCAGTTTTATTAAGAGTGGTGCTGCTTTGAATTGGTTATGAAGATAATAGGAAAAGCATGTATTTGAACCAGCGCCGTGAAGCTGACCACTTGTATAAAACTGACCTTCGGAAGGTGAATAATAATAATGAAACCTATAATTTGTACAATATAATTACCCAAAAGTCTCTATGTACAGAATGATATTGAATAGTTCCTTTTCTATTTTCATATCGTCCATCTATCTACACTAATAAGCTTTCATCTATATAAGCTTTATATATTCTATACAAGAAACCCAATAGTTTCTGACATGCTCCAAAAAGTTTTGTTCATGCCATGGCTTCTGTTAATACTTAAATAATATTTTAACATTCTAAATTAAAATAATTTCAAGCCAACGAGCATAATAAGTATACCATTTATTCCTGATAATATATGCATGTTTTATATAGTCTATTTCACTTTTTCTAATTGCGTAGCGAAAATAAGAACGTATTTTTTTTTTTTTTTTTGCTGTTCAGTAAGATCGTAATACTGGGCACACTGTCACATCAGGTCAGCAGCACACTGTCACATCAGGTCAGCAGCACACTGTCACATCAGGTCAGCAGCACACTGTCACATCAGGTCAGCAGCACACTGTCACATCAGGTCAGCAGCACACTGTCACATCAGGTCAGCAGCACACTGTCACATCAGGTCAGCAGCACACTGTCACATCAGGTCAGCAGTGGAAGAGTATGTTAACGATCTACTTTTTATTAAAATTCTATAACTATCTACGGGCTCACCATAGCCCGTGTTACTTGGAACTTTTTGTTCCGGGTAGCGAATCTTTAACAACATATTAAAAATCAATGGCGTTGTTCCTACTAAACTAATTATGATGTAAAGTTATTCTTCTACAAGCACTTCCCGCTCACCCGTTTGGTATCCTTGCTCTATGGAAGTCTATCTGAGAGGTGTAGTGGTCTTAACAAACTTCCGGAGTTTGATAGGCCTCAAGTCATACCAAACCAAGAAGCGTATCTCCCCCTTCTAGGTGTGCATACGCTACAGTAACTCTAGTCCTGGACTATATCCAGGACTAAATTATAATTCCTGGTTGGTTAGTGAACTATTTTGGTGGCTTCACCCTCCAGCGATTGATAGGCCTAAAGCCCTTCACCTATACACCGCCATAGTGTACTACACATGTCTGAAATGTACACGGTCAGGTACACACGTGGACTTTGTTGACACACGTGGTCTTTGTTGACACACGTGGTCTTTGTTTACACACGTGGTCTTTGTTTACACACGTGATCTTTGTTGACATACGTGATCTTTGTTTACACACGTGGACTTTGTTGACACACGTGGTCTTTGTTGACACACGTGGTCTTTGTTGACACACGTGGTCTTTGTTGACACACGTGGTCTTTGTTGACACACGTGGTCTTTGTTGACACACGTGGTCTTTGTTGACACACGTGGTCTTTGTTGACACACGTGGTCTTTGTTGACACACGTGGTCTTTGTTGAAACACGTAGCCTTTGTTGACACTCGTAGTCTTTATTGACACACGTAGTCTTTGTTGACACCTGTGGTCTTTGTTTACACACGTGGAGTGTGTAACGACGTAACGGAATATGAACAATTGCAGCTGAAAATAATTGGAGAGTAGTGAAAGGCCTTTGAGGTAGGTCGAATATAATTAATAAATTCTCAAAACTTTTTTTTAGCTCCGAGGAAAACGTATTTGTGTCACATTAAAGATTTGTTTCGGAATGTGTTTCGATAAACTTATACTCGGAATTATGAAATATATAATTAATAAGTATATATCTTCTGCTAGAATGATTATTCCGACGATAATCGCAGATTCAAGATTTAATCTTATAATCAAACGTTTACGATAGTCTGCTGTCTAATTTAAGTATACTGCGCTCTCATTCGTAGTTAAAATACTTTCCATTCCCATTAGTAAGAAAAAGATAGAAAATACCGTATACTGAGAGAACATAGACCATATACTAAGAAAACATACAATCTATGTACTTGGAGAACAGAAATAGTATACCAAGTGAATAAGAGAACGTACACTAAGAGAACAAAGACCGCATACTCGGAGAACAAAGATCGTATACTAAGTGATGTATACTGGAAGAGCATGCTTCTATTATCTTGGGGACCATGCACCCCCACGGCCTCAGTCGGAAATTTCAAAAGACTTTACACCAAACCTGCGTGAATATTTTTGTATAAACCCTGAAAATGCGGCATATCAGAATAACTCGAATTTATGGAAAAAAAATCTGGCAGGACTATTAAATAAGTATGAATCTTGCCTTAGTTTAATACAAACAAAATGATCTTCAAGTCGAACTTTAGTCTTATAGGCCAACATGATTGTTACGGGAACTTTGCCACGCCACTTTTTTTAGCTCAATGTTTCAGGGTAGTTCACATTACTATCACCAAGATTAAGGAAGACGCAACATTGCATCAACGGATTTATGATGATCATAATTATACGCGCAATTACACTATACATCAGTATTAATTTAAATGTGAGAAAATCCCACTTTTTGGATACATAGCATGTAGACATTGAGGAATGCATCACGGGGGAGGCTCGCACTGCATGAACAGTTAGTGCCTTGAAAAAAATATGGCGTGGAATATGTCACATATATACTTATTTATATGGGAAATAGTGACTATAAGCAATAAGTCCTATATGTGCTGTCTTGTGCGAGAGCGGGTTGGACAGACACAGCCAGAGGACACGTTGAGGAAATGAGAATTCGACATTTGAGTCTCAGTACCGCGAACCAGTTAATCGATAAATTTCCGATAAGAGCTAATTCGTAGGATTTCTTGTTGCGAGGTGATGATATAGTTCGTTTCTTTTAAACAGTTTTCCAGAATAGGCTGCTGTTATGCATCCATGTTTCCTTCCTTCTGGAAGCTAATTCAATGGTCCTGTTTGACTTGGTATTAGATGTGACACTGTTGTGGTACGCTTAGCTAGCCGCTACAACAGCTTACCAAGCTCTAGTTCATGCAAATGTGAGGCCAACATGCAAATGGAATTACCAATGCAAATGTTCTTCTTTTTCCATTATAAGATTGCAAAATAACAAAGCGGATTCTGCCACTCAAGTATTACAATTTTCAAGGAGTTATTCAGAAGTACTGAATTAACTAATGCTGCACTGTATCTAAACGCGAAACTCGGCCACAGATATGGTATCAATACCTTCTGTAAGATTATATAAATATATGTATATACATATACTTAGTTTTCCAGTACACCTTTGGTTAATGAAGAGAGGAACTAGCTAAAGTAGCGGTGAGCGAGGGGTACAGATATACAACACCTCTTCCCCACACTTCAAGATAGAAAAGTAAAAAAAAACCAGTTCTGGAAGCCTCAGCCATAGGAAAAAAAAAGTCGTAATGAACACGAACATTATACTTACGGACATCCCAGATGATGCTACATCTTTGAGCCCACTTGAATTAAGACTTAGCGTCTAGCCTTTCTACAATTGCTATGGATAACTCATAGTTTGAGATATTGTTTATGAGGTATTGCTTACTTGAGATGTTTATCAGTATTATCAAGTCATTAAAGTTACAATATAATTATCAGTACAGAAATATGAATTATTCAAGTAAAGGCAAAATGTTTACTTATACAAACTGTGCAAGATTATAAGCATGCATTGCTTCAATAAATATGGCACATATAAAGAGAACCAATATATATATGCACTGTTGCCTTTAAGTACTCGAGCTCAACAAAAAAGTGATTATCAAGGTCAAATGAGGCTATGTTATTTCCCATATATATATATATATATATATATATATATATATATATATATATATATATATATATATATATATATATATATATATATATATATATATATATATATCCTCAAAGAGTTACTATACCTGTTCAGTAGGATTCTTGATTAGAGGATGGAGGTATTTCTCAATAAGATCCTTGAAGAACTGAACTTCAGCCCCAGGCATGTAGTCGACCTCTCCTCGCTTGAGGGCCTTGTCCTCCATCCAGTAAGGGTTGACTAGATCGTCCCGCTCCTCCTTCGGCCCTGGCGAGAAGAATGAGGAACTGTGAACACCCTTCTTTCAGGGCTACGAGGGAAGCAACGTTCGTTCTGTTACGCTGGCTGGAACTGCGCGATGCTTTGAAGGATAACCTTATGTAGGCATGCGGCTGTATTATCCGAGAGATGGTTATCCTTGTGGATTGGTGTTATCACGGCGTGGAGTGGGTACTCTAGTATATTGTTATAGCATAATGTGGTTCCTAATAGTGTGTGGTTATCATTGATTATAATCATTTTAGTGAAATGTGACTGTAGTTATCATGTTGAAATTCAGTTATCATAAAGTGTGATTATCGCCGTGATGTTAAAGACTCGAGCCCTTAAGAATTATTGCTATAAAGACGTCCGAGACGACTGACCGCCATGATGCTGCCACCGATGAAGAAGTCAACGTTACAGAATCTGTAAATTAAGAACAGTAGATTGAGGAGACACAGACCAGTAACTAGAGACAATTGAGTCAAAGAGGTGTCAGAACCCAATTATTTACAGCCTTAAAGCTGTAAATAAATAGAATGGATAAGAAGAAGTGATCTAATGTTACTCAGAATGATAGCCAAATCCACACATCAGAGGAGACGAGGCGTTTCGGTCCGTCAGGACCGTAATCAAGCACATACAGAAAACGAGAGAAAAGCACGAGAGAAAACAAAGAGAACGGCAATATGGTGAAGGGGGAACTTACCAGACTTCTCACTCTCGCTGTCGGTGTAATCGTCGAGGGGGTTCTCGTTGATGGAGGAGACCCCGTCGCCCCTGATGGAGGTGCGAGGCTGCATGGTGGACCTCCGGCGGGTGCTGGGCACGATGCCCATGTGACTGTTGGAACAAGGCTGGGATTAGCTCGTGGAGCGGACAGCGGAGAAATGCACGATTCATTTGGAGAGATACAGGATGGTAGACCGGAGGCAGGCTTTGGATTACTATAGGAGGGAAAGGTAAGGTTTCGGGAGGGAAGAGACGAGGAGGATGAGGAAAGGCAGAAGGAAGGAAAGGGCGAGAACAAAATTCGCGGATAAGGGGAAGGGTGAGTACGAGAAGAGAGACAAAGGAAGCAATGTTCGTAGAAAAACAAGGGAGATATGGAATAAAGGGATGAAATGGAGAGAAAAAACACTTGATAACGGAACAAACGAGGAGTGAGAGAGGGAAGGAGAGAGCAGAATCAGGCAACAAGCTCTGACACCAACAGTGTGGCGGGTGACTGTGGCGAGGACGGAGACGTGGACGCCCTACATGCCAGAGTGGGGGACATGGGAGCCACACACGGCCACAGAAGCACAAGGGTTCCGGCATACCCAAGAAGGCTACGCGAGTTATGGTTTACGGGCTATTCATGCCCGTGCCACCTCTTGGGTGGCTTAATCATCCTCAATCAATCAATCGAGTCATGGTGCTTGGTACAGGAGGTAGGACTCGCAGAACTTGGCCACGAACCACAGGCACAGATTAGGCATAACAAATAAGGAATTCGATTCTGGGAATCGAATACTATATGAGAGGTTCATGAACATTTCGAGCCCAAGCTTCAGCGTTGGTCAAGACTTAACTTCTGAGAGAGAGAATATTGGGTGAAACGAACTTGAGATCAATTTAGAAATATTTCTTTAAAATCTAATTTATTTACGTGTTATTGAGTCTCGAGAAAACATTAAGAAAGAACACAAGTGGACTTACGATTCAATTGTTTCGAAACGCTTCTTGAGAATTTCGAGTGAATTGGCGATGCTGGCGAGCTGGTCGTGCTCGTTGGTGGACCTCGGGTGGACGCAGCAGATGATCTTGAAGAGGCCTGCCAAGGAGAACTCGATCGAGCCTTCGTCGTCGGTCACCTGATCTCTGGTCAGGAAGGAAAGGAAGCCTTCCTTCTTCTTCATCTTCTTGGCTTCCTCTGCGGCTTTTCGCTCTGCTTCTAGTTCCTAGTGAAGTCAACGTCCGAGACCATTACAGTAAGAACTTATAAGTTTTGAAACCCGTGCATTTTGTTCTTCAATTATGAAATTTGTAAATTGTTTCCCCAAACACTATATCTCTAATATTATTATCATGATTAAGTTCACAGATTGAAAAAATACACCTGTACATAGTAGTATTGTACATATATATTGCAAATATATAAGAACGCAACACTTGTCATATACTGATACAATACCGAGAACACGGTGTACAGCAACACTTGCAACACATGCGCACTCCTGGGGGTGTGCCATGATGGTATTAACATGGTTAGTGTGAGATAATAGGCATGCGAGGGAGATGTTAGTTTAAGTGTTGGAAACACCATCACCAAGGTCAGCTTCGTCAGGCAAACTCTAAGCTCTAAGTCAATCATGCACATGCACTTTGCAAAGGTGCAAGATGAACAAAGCTCTACTGTATAAAGCACTTAGAAAGGTGTTCGAACTTGAGTGTATCTATCTAACATTCCCAACATTTTCCCCCATTTCAGTGCCATCTTAATCACTTCAGTAAGCTACAGCATAAGATATCAATACAGTACAACATTATCTAATAACACCCAAAATACAAATTTGTTGATCATGTTCTGTGTTGTATTATACCGCTAAAACTGATATACAATTATTGTATTTTATGAAGTTCAGATTTGGTATTTAAAAAGAGAATATTAAACTGTTTTTTGGCTAGACCACACACTAGAAGGTGAAGGGACGACGACGTTTCGGTCCGTCCTGGACCATTCTCAATCGACTTGAGAATGGTCCAGGACAAACCGAAAAGTCGTCGTCCCTTCACCTTCTAGTGTGTAGTCTGGTCAAACTACTTCAGCCACGTTATTGTGACTCCTCGCCTGCATATTAAACTGTAGTTTATAAAATATAAATGCACCAACCCCACCACTAACCAAGCGGTCTGAATGGCCAGCATCGTGAGGTTGTGGTGGGCCGGGCGAGGTCTCAAGGCTGTCACGAAAGCCCGCCTACAAATGATTTGTTTCGATCCATGAACCACACAACGTAATATTCATCTCCGTCTTCCTCCCACTGGTCACAGCAACACTACACACACCTCCCACTGGTCACAGCAACACTACACACACCTCCCACTGGTCACAACAACACTACACACACCTCCCACTGGTCACAGCAACACTACACACACCTCCCACTGGTCACAACAACATTACACACACCTCCCACTGGTCACAGCAACACTACACACACCTCCCACTGGTCACAACAACACTACACACACCTCCCACTGGTCACAGCAACACTACACACACACCTCCCACTGTACACAGCAACACTACACACACCTCCCACTGGTCACAACAACACTACACACACCTCCCACTGGTCACAACAACACTACACACACCTCCCACTGGTCACAACAACACTACACACACCTCCCACTGGTCACAGCAACACTACACACACCTCCCACTGGTCACAACAACACTACACACACCTCCCACTGGTCACAACAACACTACACACACCTCCCACTGGTCACAGCAACAATACACACACCTCCCACTGGTCACAACAACACTACACACACCTCCCACTGGTCACAACAACACTACACACACCTCCCACTGGTCACAGCAACACTACACACACCTCCCACTGGTCACAACAACACTACATGCACACCTCCCGCTGGTCACAACAACACTACATACACACACCTCCCACTGGTCACAGCAACACTACACACACCTCCCACTGGTCACAACAACACTACATGCACACCTCCCACTGGTCACATCAACACTACACACACACACACCTCTCACTGTACACAACAACTCTACACATTCAAAGACCCCCGCCGAGGAGACCGCTGTGTACCTCTCTGGTCTTCTTCTTCATCTTCGTGGCCACTTCGCGGGTGCCCCAAGAGACGTTGTTGAGGTTGAAACAGGAGTAGATCTGGAGGAGGAGGTACATGGAGGGCACGACCATGTAGTACACCAGGCCGCAGGGCAGGCAGATGAACTCGTTGGGGTGAAGTATGCCCGTTATTATGAAGGAGCCGGCCGTCGCCAGGAAGAATATGGCGGTCGGGGTGTTCCAGCCTTCCTCCGCGAAGTTGAGGATCATGCCGACCAGCACCACGACCATGACCAGCGCATACACCGCCGTCAGCACGTACGCTATGGTGATCTGTAGGACCCGGCAGAGACCCCGCCAGGGCGTGTGTGTGTGCGTTAGTGATAGGGGTTAAGTGATATATTAATGACGGAAAAGAAAACCGAAGTGAACAGGTGGGTAATCAGAATGTTGTTAAAGATTCGCTACCTGGAACAAAAAGTTCCAAGTAACATGGGCTATGGTGAGCCCGTAGTGCCTTAAGTAGCACGGGGTTAGTTGTTGCATTAATACCATGCGACTGGTGACTTGGTGGTGCAATAAGGTATTACTAGCAAGTGACTAATGATATTAGCAATGTATTAACCGCCAGTGACTGGTGATTGTGGTGCAATATTGTTTTAATAGCAAGGGAATGATGCCTAAGTGGTATAGAGATAAGGAGATGAGAGGGATGCTGGAGGTTGAGATAAAAGCTGTTACCATAGATAGGTAGACGAGTGGTGTACTGGAGAGTATGTATACGGATCACTACACCGCTCATAAGGTATACTCAGAACGTAAATCACAACCTTCTCTACAAATTTTAAAAGTAAACTCGGGACTTCTGTAATGAAAAGCGCACGCATGAAGAACAACAACGGACATACAGACACGAGCAACGCACATACAGACACGAACAACGCACATACAGACACGAACAACGCACATACAGACACGAACAACGCACATACAGACACGAACAACGCACATACAGACACGAACAACGCACATACAGACACGAGCAACGCACATACAGACACGAGCAACGCACATACAGACACGAGCAACGCACATACAGACACGAGCAACGCACATACAGACACGAACAACGCACATACAGACACGAGCAACGCACATACAGACACGAGCAACGCACATACAGACACGAACAACGCACATACAGACACGAACAACGCACACAACGGGCAAACTAAACAAACCGCCAATAACATAAACTGATCTAAACGAACCAATTTTCAGTTTAAATGGGCTGCAATTGCTAAAGTAAAAAACATTAGAGAACACAATTTTCGAATTGTAAAATAATAATTAATGTTTATGTATGTATACGTGTATGTATCTGGCACCCCATTTCTGTAATAAGTTAGTTAACTTTGAAGACCAAAGAGGGTTAAAGTTAGAGGGACCATGCATTAAACGACAATGAAGATAAATGCAATGTATGTTTTTCATTGGTGCAATAACCACTAGACATGCTTAATGCTTGCACATGTACTCTTACCTCTCTACCTGTGCACTTTTACCTGTACATTTCCCCCGTGTACACAACCCGACCACCAATATCCCCCGTGTGTACTACGCTCACCCGCTACGGTCATCATGCACCTGGACGCTCCCGCATCAAGTCAACTGTACAAACCTTTTTGGTTTTCTTGGTGGCAATCTCGCGCGTGCCCCAGGAGACGTTGTTGAGGTTGATGAGGGAGTAGATGATGAGGAGCAGGTACATGGACGGGATGGACAACAGGTACAACAAACCGGGGATAATGCACTTAAACTCCTGCGGGTGCATGCAGGCGGCGATGAAGAAGGAGCCCGAGAGAGCGATGAGGAAAATGGCGGAGGGGGAGCCGACACCGTCCTCCCCGAGCTGGAGGGTGGTTCCCACGATGACAGCCATCATGATCAAGGCGTAGCTCGCCGACAGGATCTGGGCCACAATCAGCTGTTGTCGCGCCCAAATGGTGTTCGGACGTTGGCCACACACGAACACCACAACAGCGACAAACACACACACACACACGCACACGCAAGACAAGGGACATGGTTATACAAGGAGTCACATTTTAAATCACGGAACATATATAACATATAAGACACAAGTTGAAAAATAACATTAACACAGACGCAAATAAACAGCCACAACCACGTGTAATGTCCCTTCCATTCTAGACATTAATGAAATAAGACTTTTAATGCAACAATAAATATGAGGAAACCTTGTAAAAAAATATATATATATAATTGACCGTCGTACATTCCATATTATTCCAAGACTACCTCAGAGTCAGCTCCAGGAGGAGCTGTCAAGGATACACAGCTGTACATTACCTGGATGCTAGACTTGAGTAGGAAGCAAGCCACCATGAACAGGAAGATCGGGATGATATTATATTGGAAGGACACCCAGTTGCCGATTCTGAAGGCCGCCACGAAGGCACCCACCAACATAAGGAAGATAGTGGCCGGGCCCAGGATGGTACCAGCCATCAACATAGTCTGCAAGGAATAACACTGCTGTAACCCTACGTCACAATGCTCAAATACATGTAACTATGTAATATAACAGTTGAGAGTCAAGACAGTTTCAGACTTTGTCATACCTGGTAAGAAATGTAAGGCAAGGAGATGTTGTCGTTGACTTCGATGGTTTTCTTGTAGTCCTGCAGCAGATCCATAATATTGGCCATGGTGGAAGGCACCCATCGTCGGCGCTGGTTATAGAACTCTGAGAAGCCCTCCGGGGCGTGGGTGTAGGCGTCGGAGGCGGCGCTGTACTCCACACGATATCCTCGCTGCAGCAGTAGTGTACACAGCCATCGATCCTCTCCTGCAGCGATGTGTAGACAAAGTCACAATAAGTTACTCTGCAGCTGGGTCACGCCCTGGCACTGTGCCTCTCCCTGCCCCTCTGATATACTTCGTCTCTACCCAGGTCACCTCTCACCTCTCATCATCATCCTCTCCCGGGAAGAGGAGAGGAGGAGGATTCAAACGCCAGACACAACGTTGCAGGTATATATATACCAAACATAGATATGGGCTCTGTTACGGGCTATTCATGTCCATGCCACCTCTTGGGTGGTTTAATCTTCATCAATCATGGGCTCTTGGTATCATTGTATCATTTGTATAGGCAACAAATTTTTGGTATCACTACATTATATACGTAATGAAAGATGAAGGACTACTTTATCTTATATACAACACAGAGGATCATATTGCATAATCTACAAACAATATATTATGAATCAGACTACAGAAAATACAAACTTTGTGTATTGTAATCAATTACAATACAGACCACCTCCACAACAATGAACATGGATTCTTGCCCTGTGGCCCTAGACCGTCACACCAGCAGACGCAGATACTTGCCCTGTCACCCTAGACCGTCACACCAGCAGACGCAGATACTTGCCCTGTCGCCCTAGACCGTCACACCAGCAGACGCAGATACTTGCCCTGTCACCCTAGACCATCACACCAGCAGACGCAGATACTTGCCCTGTCGCCCTAGACCGTCACACCAGCAGACGCAGATACTTGCCCTGTCACCCTAGACCATCACACCAGCAGACGCAGATACTTGCCCTGTCGCCCTAGACCGTCACACCAGCAGACGCAGATACTTGCCCTGTCGCCCTAGACCGTCACACCAGCAGACGCAGATACTTGCCCTGATCGTACTGGACGTAGTGACGAGCCTGACTGGACTTGGTGGTGTATCTGGCCATAACGTTGTCGTCCATAAGAGCCTTCCCTCGGAACAAGGAGAAGCAGCCGGGACTACACAGCACACACCCGATCATGTGCTCCGTCGCCTTCTGCAGCCAATGGCCAATAGCGTACTCGAACATCTGGTACCACACCATCACACCTGAACACAGTGTAAACAAGGGTCGAGAATTATTATATTTGGTCGCAGTACTCGTGAGACACGAACAGCTGTGACTGCTGGTCTTCCTTGGCCCATCACCAGTTACCTGACAGTCACAACTGCTTGACAGTCCCTCATAACTACGTGAGAATACTTTTTAAACTGTTTAATATTCAATTTGTTACATACGGCATTTTGCTACTTTTCTCCCTGTATATACAATGATACCTCTAACCACCACATATAAACCGTGCTGTACTGCTTAACTGCTCTTCTCATGACCTACATGGTCTCACTTCCCAGTGCCTGGTTTCATACAGGTCGTCTCAACCAGTTCCCAGTATGTCATCCTCTCTCTTTCTCTCTATCTCTTTCTCTATCTATCTATCTCTCTCTATCTCTCTATCTATCTCTCTATCTCTCTATCTATATCTGTATCTCTCTCTGTCTCTCTCTCTCTCTCTGTCTCTCTCTCTCTCTGTCTCTCTCTGTCTCTCTCTCTCTCTGTCTCTCTCTCTCTCTCTCTCTCTCTCCCTTACACCCGTGTTCAACATGCTCTCCGAGTCTTCCTCCCAGTTCTCTCACCTCCGCCTACAGGATGAATACGCCCACAAGCAGCACCCAAGTTGGTATTCTTCTTCATGAGATCGATCAGGAGAGCCACGGCGCTAGGGGTGAAGTCGATGTCCCCGTCAAGAGTGAGCAGGAAAGTGTTCTCGGCGATCACTTCCTTCCTGTCCACCGAGATGGGCTGATCCATCAGCTTGAAGCCCAGGAGGTAGTACATGTACATCACCTGCAACCACAACACCCAAGTCAACACAGTTAATGGCGAACTTATAACACATATTCACATTGTGTTGTCCTTGTAAATTTTGGGGGCAAAATTCTTGCTTAATTGCAAATAATGTCACAATATCTTGGCTGAAGACATGACGACCAAACCACCCATCAGAAAGTGAAAGAAACGACGATGTTTCGGTCCGTCCTGAACCACTATCAAGCCACGTGGACCATTATCACACGGCTTGATAATGATCCGGGACGGACCGAAACGTCGTTTCTTTCACTTTTTTGATGTGTGGTGTGGTTATATTATTTAATGGTTTTATATAGTAAAAATGTGCATACCTTTCAATCATGCTACAATACAATATATGTTAATAATGCTACACTACAATACCTATTAATCATGTTACACTATAATACCTGTCAATTACGGAGCACAAATACTTGCATGGTTATTGTAATACAAAACAGGAGACCATGGCGGTCTGTATCGCGAGGCCTCACCTGAGACCATCTCTTCTTGTGCCTGATCTTTCCCTTGTCCTTGAGATGAGCCACGATCTTGGTCTTGCCCGGGAGGGTCCAGACGAGGCGGCCGCCGTACGGGGTGGGGAACTTCTTGGGCGGGCGAATGCGGATGTTGGTCTGGTGGACGTGCGTGGCGGCGTCGTCCATCAGCTCCACCAGCAGCTTCACGAACTGGTTCACCACGTTCTCGTCCTCGTTCTCGTCGGATATCTCGAAGGCGTCGTCAAAGAAGACGTGGGCTGGAAATGGAATATTTTGGTAAGGGTGTGAAAGTAAGAGGGTTATTATTTAATATATTAGACGACCGTACAGACTATCATTATCAGATGGACTTTCTGGATTTTTTTCCCCCTCGTGTGTATACCCGGTACCACACATTGCAGTTATTTTTTTGTTTGTTTTATATTTCACACAACTCCAGGAGGACTATTCATGCATCAACATTGCACTCCAGAAATTGCCTAAAGTGGTCCCACACAGCTTCATAAAGGACTCCTTCTGTACAAGTCCACCTACCTGTCACTTGCTATATATCGCTTCCATTGCTCACACTCACTCCGCTTTCTCACTCTCTTTCCTTTCCTCCTCCTCTTGCTTCTTCTTCTTCTCCAACTTCTCCTCCTCCTTCTTCTACTCCTCCTTCTCCTCCTCCCTATCCTCCTCCTTCTTCTACTCCTCCTTCTCTCCTCTTATTAAATTCGTTCTTACGTGTTTGAAAACACACGTATTTAATTAATCATATGTACCAGTTTTAGTAGGTCGAACTTAGGATTCAAAATATGAAAAAGACATTTTGTAAAGACCGAAAGCTGCTTCGTAGAAGCTTCATATATTAGAAAAAACAGTTGGAATTGTGTTCATACTTGCTGAACTTCTAACTCAAAGATTGACCCAACAAAAAAACTGTATATGATAATTAGAACTTTAAAGAAAAATAGTTATTGGGAAAGCTGCGAGAATATGAGCCTTCGGCAGCCAAGAGCGAAGATGCCTTACTCTCGAACTCGTAGTAGTCGAGATCGACGATCTTGAGGTACTTCTGCGCCACGCGGCGAGCGGACTGATCTTCGTCCATACGAAGGATGGACTTCAACATCTCCATCATCTCCTCCTCGTTCTCGTGCCACATGGTGGCTGTGGCGTAGATGCGGGTGATGTGGTCGGAGGACTTGATCTTGGAGGCGTTGTTGTTGGAGGAGTCGGTGTGGATGGAGATGGTCTCGTAGTACTGCGACACCTGAGGGCAAGAACCATTTGGTTAGCGGATAACATGATCATTATAATGGGAGCATGGTGGGGTGCGGGTCTGATATATCTTAGACCCGGGTCTGACACATCTTAGACCCGGGTCTGAGTCACCGTAGATCTGGGGTTGAGATATCGTAGATAAGGATCTGGAATATCTCAGAGCTGGGACATCTTAGACCCGGGTCTGGGACATCTTAGACTCCAGTTTGAGTTTGCAATGTCTCTTAAAATCTTTAGAAATGTATGAGACACAATGTCTCGTTTAAATATTGATAACACCGAAAGTCTCAAGTTATTATCTCCCCCACACAAAATTATTTTTCCTACTAGCTCCTTGAAATTCTTTGACACCCTCTCAAACTCGTCTTTCTCAAAGTCCTTGACACCTTTACTGTCTTCTGTCCCCTCGCTATCACATTCTTATTTCATTTTCGTGTGGATCTAGTGGTCCCTTCTTAAACATCTTCCTTAAACATTGTTGGCATTTACTTTATTTTCTTAGCGCATATCAGAACTGAGACACAGGAAAGCGTACGCTTGTTAAAAGTCTTCCAAGTACTCTTTCCTTAAAATTCTGTGCCAATCTCTAAGCATCTGCCAGAGAAACACATATTTCTAAAGTATAAGATAAAAAGGATTGCTATGTCATTAGAAAGGAAAACATACTGGAAAGGTATACTTAGTGATGTTGTCAGTCTCTTATACATGAATTACAATTATGCGTGGTTCATTGAGTAGGAGCCAGAGGCGCTCACCTCGTTCTCATGTTCGTCTGCGTTGAGGTTGAGGTCCTCCGTCTTGACGTCGCCTTCATCGTCCCTCCGCCGGTTGAGAGCCAGCGACTGGTCGATCAGGAGGGAGTTGTACATGGGCGTCACGAACAGCTTCTCCGTGGAGGCGAGACGTTCGCACTTGGGCGTCCAGATGTGCAGAGTGATCCATGTCTGTGACAGCAGCCAGAAGAGCCACACCCACGCATACTGGCAAAGCAAAATAATATTAATTACCTTTCGTTGGTTCCAAAGGACCAATGTCCCCGCGGCTCGGCCTCTAGCCATACTCCTGTTGCAACATACAAATACATTTAAATATTACTATTTAGGATTTATGTAACTAGCATAAACAAATACATTACTTTCATGAATGAACACAAGTAGGGAACGCCAATATATATAAAGTCATTCCCATAAATATTGCAATCCAGCAAACAGTGTACCCAACAAGAATACACAACTTCTCACGTCATTGTTCAAGAAGTCGTTGAGGATGTCGCCATTCTTGCACTCCCAGAAGAGGTACTCTGGGATGACGCCGAAGGAGCAGGCGGTGTCGAACCTGAGGCCGCAGGCAGTGATGAGGAGCGAGATGGAGACGGGGATGGTGAGGTTGACGGGGAAGGCGAAGCTGAACCCTTGGATGCAGATCTTGCACGCGAACTTGCCTATGGGTTATGGAACACGTTACTAGCGATAGTTCATACCAGCCTCATCTACATGTCAACAGAGACACTGGCTAAATTGTCACACATTAAGCTGCCGGTGCCTAAGTAGGAATATTATATTCCTACTTAGCCACTGGGCAATGCAGTATTACAAAAAAAAACGCTATATACCTATGAGAAAATACAGAGGCCATGTAATAGGACTGAACTATCCCATACTTGACTCGCTATCCCATACTCGAGCTTCAACATCTTCTCGTAGGGAAAGCTTGGTTGACTCACCAAAGATGTAGCAGAGCCAGGCTGTGAGGACCTGTATGAGGAAGACGTAGACGGGGGTGCCGTAGGTGGACAAGATGGGCAGCGTGTTCTCGAGCGGGGCGACGGTGGGGAAGTCCGGCACGGTGTGTCCCGGCAGCGTCTCTCGCACCTCCGTCACGTTGATGCTGTGCACTCTGTCGCAGGACAACACGGGGTGAGAGCCTTGACTCTCGTCATACATCAAGTGTTTACATCGTGTCTTACAAGTTTCTCTGAACACTATGAGGACGACTTGAGAGAGCTTAAGGCCTCGTGAGACTCGGCACAAATGCCCAAAGTGTCTAGCACTTTGAGGACGTCTTGAGCTACCCCGAAACTCAGTGTGTACTTGTTTGTCTTAATTAATAAACATTAACCTCAATTTAATAAGACTATCAAAATCCTCAGATTAGGCAAAATTGTAATTAATTTTGTCAATAAAGATGTTAATAATAATAATAATTAATAAACAAGTTCATCGTTGTGCGCATGGGCGTGGTCACGTGACCACGCCCATGCGCAGTAACGAGGCGCATCGTACTCTTGAATGATGCTCTTTGTTATTATTCATCTTGTATAATATTACTCATCGTGTATATTATTACTCATCCTGTATATTATATAGTAATATTTTATTTATCATTATTCATCATTTCATATATTCGATACTTGACTGTATGAATGAAACTAATCTAGCGATGAGTTCACCTCATCTAAGTTCAAATATAACCCATGAGAGAATTTATGAACCCACCTTGAATTTATGCATTTACCATACACTATACACAGCACACCATTCACACACACACACATCATACGTAACACACAACCCATCATAAACCATACACAATATATATATATATATATATATATATATATATATATACCATTCGTCATTCACCATACGCAATATACACACACTCATCACATCATAATTCCAAAGCATTATATGACAAAGAGTGCTGGGAAGACGGGACACCACGAGCGTAGCTCTAATCCTGTAACTACACTTAGGTAATTACCCATACATGCTATAAACACCATCTTACCTGAAGGCCTTCCCAAGTTCGAAGATGGCGGAGAGGTCCTGGAGGCGGGTGCTCATGGAGATGATCATCACGGTGAAGAACACCAGGCACTTCCACAGCGACACGAAGACGTAGCTGAAGTAGCGCGTCCGCCACAGCCTCTCCTTGATGCCTCCGAAGTACTTGATCACTCCTGAAGCCGCGGAAGGAAGAACAGCGTTTAACCACGGGAGGAAGTTGAGGGCAGCGAGCTTCGCTACACAGGCTTTCTGGGGTTTTATATATATATATAACAAAGAGGAATACAAAGACCGTGTGGAAGGGGGAGAGGAATACAAAGACCGCGTGGAAGAGGGGGGTCGACAACTCACTGAATTTGGAATGCTTGTCGACGTAGTTCTCCCACCAGCCGAAGGAGGTGAGGAAGATGGCGGGCGGGATGAACCAGATCCTCCAGCTGTTGGGGTCCTTGCCGTACTCGACGATGGGCCACACCACGAACCCGGTCACCTGGCACGCCAGCGCCACCACGTCCATCATTACCTTCAGCGCCACCCGCGACTCTTTCTTCGTCCGGGAGAGAAGACCTGTCCGGGGCGGGAAGGGATGCGGAGATTTGACGAACGTGAATGTTAATAACAGACTGGGATGTTATTATTATTATTATTATTATTATTATTAGCAGTATAAGTACATTAAGTATATTTGTAAGTGAGTGTGTGTGTTTATACAGAAATATCGAGGTTGAGGAGGTGCGGAGACTGACCGAAGAGTCCAGGGATGAAGGCGACGCAGTTGGTGAGCATGGCGCCCTTGATGACGTCGAGGTCCGGCAGCACCATGTACACCAGCAGGCTCGTGCCCATCGCGTGGAACGTCTCGAACAGCCACACGAAGAAGAAGTCCCCGAACGGAGGCTTCTTCCAAGACTGGTCACGAGAACACACACACACACATTTAAATGTTACCTGCTGAGCCGAATGTTCTTCGTCTGTATAAACTCAAATATTTATTTTGATTTGGGAGGGGGGACAGGCAGCCTGTGTATTTATATACGTTAGGCTTTAATTAAGATCTCCCTCCCCCCCACTACTGACCCCCCCCTGCAACCTCACCACGAACTGACAAACTCCTGACTACCTATTTTACTACTAGGTGAACAGACGCATTAGGTGACGGGAAACCTGCCCAAATATGTCTATCATTTAAAAATTTGTTTACTAGGATGTGCGAGCCTTTCTAGGTTAAGGGAAGATGCCCCACAGAGGAGACAATGGTAGGTACCTTGAAGACACACATGCGCGTGGAGCGGAACCAGGTGCCCAGCTCCGGCACGATGAAGCAGAAGAACAACATCCACGCCCACACCACATTCTCCTCCTCCGGGATGGTGGCGATGTAGTCCTTCTCGTTAGCTGCGGGGGGAAGAAAGCAAAGCGTTAAATTGGTCATCCTGGGAGTCCCGTTACTGGGAAGACGCTCCTCAGTACCAGTAATGAGCCACTACTAAGACGCTCCTCAGTACCAGTAATGAGCCACTACTAAGACGCTCCTCAGTACCAGTAATGAGCCACTACTAAGACGCTCCTCAGTACCAGTAATGAGCCACTACTAAGACGCTCCTCAGTACCAGTAATGAGCCACTACTAAGACGCTCCTCAGTACCAGTAATGAGCCACTACTAAGACGCTCCTCAGTACCAGTAATGAGCCACTACTAAGACGCTCCTCAGTACCAGTAATGAGCCACTACTAAGACGCTCCTCAGTACCAGTAATGAGCCACTACTAAAAGTCTTTCGTCGAGACGCAAGACTTGGAGGAAGGAAACAAGCAAGTGAGGAATAATAGCCAACAGTTAGCGAAAAAAGAAAGTCCGTGAAGGTCAACAGGAAACAGGATGCCGTCAGGACGACGAGGTTGACCAACGGAAGGAAGGGGAAGTACTCACAAAGGAGTGAAGTAGAGATCATCAACAAAAGAGTCGGAGTAACTCTGGAAACAAGCGATGTTTTGACACATAATGCCATGACAAACGTGACAACTAAGAACAACGGGAGTAACTCCTAATACAACAGTGTATAAATGACTATCCAAATGTACAGATATATTTTATTATACAAAATATGTGTGGTTTGAGTAGATGGGCGAGGTACTGACCCCCGGGGCTTTCTGGCAGATAGCCCGAGGGACAGCTGGCCCTACAACACTTAACAGGTCAGTTTGATGACAGTTCAAACACACAAAGTTAATTTCACGATCAAAATAATAAGACAGTACTGTTTACTCACAAACAACTATGTTTGTGAGTAATTAACAATCCTTCAATGATACTGAAGGATTTGTCCTCCGTTGTGGTAGAGCAGCCGTGATTCTGGTACACTTTATAACCCATGGTTACTGTAACCATATTACTGAATATGGTTATTACTTAATGGAATATTACTTTCAGCGCCGTGGAGAGGAGGGGGGACCTGCTGCCTGGGTAGCAGCGTCTCCCCCGAGTCAACCTACCCTGGCTTTGCGCCCTGGTGAGGCCACTCCAGACCGACAACCGGAGCGCAACTCCATAGTCTCCTGAGACTGATGGATGCCTCCTATAATTACTGAATATTGATGGTGGTAGTTGATGTGGTGGTGGTAGTTGATGTGGTGGTGGTGGTAGTGGTGGTGGTGGTGGTAGTGGTAGCCACCTCCTCTCAACATAGCACTGTGTCGCAACATGGCCGCCCGCCCCACTCAAGGCTACCTGTTGCAATTTTTTTCCGCGTGGAGCAGCAGTACAGTTGTGATTGATGTGTGTGTGTGTGTGTGTGTGTGTGTGTGTGTGTGTGTGTGTGTGTGTGTGTGTGTGTGTGTGTGTGTGTGTGTGTGTGTGTGTGTGTGTGTGTGTGTGTGTGTGTGGCATTTAGGCCCGCCTGACCCCAATTTGTCCCATTTCCTGGAGTGAGGCTGCGGGGCGGGTCAACAGGTGACCTCAGCCGCCACCCAGCCCAAATGTCACCCGCTGGCCAGTGTAGACTTCCTCCAAGGAGACTTCAATTCTACATTAAATAGTGATCGCTCGCCCGAGTTTCTCTACACGGCCGCTTGCAGACTTTACTACAAAGTTGAACACGAAACAATGTTATCTAAAGTGGCAGTCTGTCCTTCATCAACAAAGGCCAAATGTTCATTAAGGCACCCGGCAAGTCCCCTCTTTGTAAATACATAAATGTTTACACACATGACTCACAACTATTGACGTTCGAACAGTGCTTTGCTGACGTATAATAGAAATAATTTACATATAAGAACAAACTTATTGTTATTACACAGTACGTTAACGTTGATGAATGCGTCTTGGGGGGACGGCTGCGTCTTATGGGACGGCTGCGTCTTATGGGACGGCTGTGTCTTATGGGACGGCTGCGTCTTATGGGACGGCTGCGTCTTGGGGGGACGGCTGCGTCTTATGGGACGGCTGCGTCTTGGGGGGACGGCTGCGTCTTATGGGACGGCTGCGTCTTGGGGGGACGGCTGCGTCTTATGGGACGGCTGCGTCTTGGGGGGACGGCTGCGTCTTATGGGACGGCTGCGTCTTATGGGACGGCTGCGTCTTGGGGGGACGGCTGCGTCTTATGGGACGGCTGCGTCTTATGGGACGGCTGCGTCTTATGGGACGGCTGAGTCTTATGGGACGGCTGCGTCTTTGACGAGCCTGGCCCAAAGTCAGGTTGCAAATTGGAAAAGTTTAAATTCAGGAAAAATCTGGACAAATTGGGACTAGGTTAGCTGATTTCTGGAACAAATTACCTAGTAACATAATAGACATAGACTCGCATAATTTGTTTAAGCGAATGTGTGTATGGGTAGATAGAGCAGTCTCGTAAGAGTCAAAGTCTTCCTTTGTTCTTGTGTTCTACCGTTCATGTTCCCCCAGGTGTCCCTGGAGCTGTATAACAAGGCCATGCTAGGTTACGACCGATATATAATTACAGATAAAGATGTCTACTCAAATATTTCGAAGTTACCTTCAGAGAAATATTGTAACATTCATAAAAATACTGAAATTCATTGGAAGATTTCTTGAGAGCCTCGGAAGTTCAGTTTCACTGCGAGTAGAGAGTAGAGGGCGTAACTACGGGGGGAAGGGGTGACCTTAGGGTGGAGCTGGGGGGGGGGGAGAACAGGTTAGTACTGTAGTTAGTGTGTACTGCTCCTCTACCCCCCTCCCTCCCCCCCCGTTCCGTCACTCTCAGACACCTCGACAGCGCTACGCTGTGATCACTAACGTCTCCCCGTTACTCAGCTCGTTTTCTCTCACACTTTTTTAAGTGTTCATATCCGGATTATTACGTGTGTGTGTGTGTGTGTGTGTGTGTGTGTGTGTGTGTGTGTGTGTGTGTGTGTGTGTGTGTGTGTGTGTGTGTGTGTGTGTGTGTGTGTGGGAGACCCGCCGTGAACACCCCGCCTTCGTCAGGTGCGACCATTGTACCCACGGTGGTCTGCTGCTGCTGCTGCTGCTGCTCTGCTGCTGCTGCTGCTGCTGCTGCTGCTGCTGCTGCACTCAGACTCTCTCATCCCGTTACCTCACTGCCACGCCAGTCTCCCACCAGCCTCACCGCTACAGTCTACCCCAGGACCCACTCACTCTTCCCATCGGTATAGTCCGAACACCACTGTAGTGAGGGGTTCACTGTGGCGTGGGGAGGAGGGAATGGGTCACTGTGAGGTGGGGAAGAGAGAATGAACACATCACAGCGGAGGGGCTCCATCGAGCAGTGTTCCCTACCAGTTGCCTGTCTTTCCTGCCCCTGTGAACAGTACCGTGGTGTACCACTGGAGGGAGTGCGGTGCACGATTCTCTCCTGGCAACAATTTCGTTGTAAACTTCTGTGCGTTTTCAATTAATGTTTTATGCTTCACAAGGTGCGGATTCCCGCCCGGTACTGCATATTGCAACAGTGTGCGCGTGCGCACACTTGCATGAGCGCGCACGTGCTTGCGTACGTGAGTATGCACGTGAGCGTGCGTGCGGGCGCGCGGGCGTGCGTCAGCTCCCGCTAACCACGCCCAAGAAAAAACTAGACCAACACGCCTTCGTTTCCAAATCGTTCGTTTCGTACCATCTCACACACACACACACAGACCCGAGTGGCCACGCTGGCAATGCTTCCGGCACAGACGGTGAGCGATACTCAGAGAGACTGAACCAAGGTTACTGAATCAAGGCTACACAAAAGGCCAACCAGAGGCCTCAGCTCTTGGCTTCTCTCCCCAAGTGCCGGTCTTAAGTGTACGGAATGTACGCACTACACGAGGGGTCACACTAGGCGAGGGGTCACACTAGGCGAGGGGTCACACTAGGCGAGGGGTCACACTAGGCGAGGTGTCACACTAGGCGAGGGGTCACACTAGGCGAGGTGTCACACTAGGCGAGGGGTCACACTAGGCGAGGGGTCACACTAGGCGAGGGGTCACACTAGGACGAGGGGGTCACACTAGGACGCGGGGGTCACACTAGGCGAGGGGTCACACCAGGACGCGGGGGGGGGGTCACACTAAAGCACTGAGCCCCCCAGATGAGCCAGGGGGAGACACAGGAACCAACAGCATGACGGGAGAGAGCAGCCAGAAAGTGCTCACAAGCGGAAGTGTTGCGTCTTAACTCTACACACACACACACACACACACACACACACACACACACACACACACACACACACACACACACACACACACACACACACACACACACATACACACACACACACACACACACGACTTCAGATGTATATATATATATGACCATAACGATGCATCACAATGCCCGACTGATGGTCCAGAGGCGGGGCCCAGAAACTGGAGCTCACTCCTCGTTAACCAGTCAAGGGTGACTACTCGAAAGTGATTATACACATCCATACGGTTGCTTGGCTTATGTACACACGCCACTGTAATTTCACGGTAGTACAGGCAAGACAATCGGGAAATCTTAGGCTGGCCTGTTCCTATATTTGCCCTTCATACCTTCAGTTTGTTGAAGGAGGAGTATGCTCCGAAATGCCCCACATTTGACCTTCTTAGATTAGGTATGCTCCGCTAATGCTCCAAACTGACCTATGAGGTAGTTATAATCTAAAAGATGCATGTGGAGACGGCCTATATTACCTCCAGACGTGTTGCTGACACAAGTGTCAAACCATGTGACCTTAAAGACGGGAGAATATGAGCATTCAGACATGAAATATGGGGTTTCGTGCAAGGGTTGCTGTTAATCGTTCATTATCCAGCGAAGTGTTAAATTACAGATATGCTTGTGTTAACCCGTTCGCGCGGGGTGTCTACTCACCTGCTGGTGCGTGTGGGATGGAGGACCTCCCCTTTCTAGCCGCCGATTTGTTTAGAGCAATGACACCTGTCCTATTGCCCTAT